GCTATATGGGGCATCTTTGTCTTTGGGGGTGGAGCTAACCAAAACATGGGGCAGGGCCAGACACCTTAACCAAGCCCAGACACTTCCTTGCTGCACAACTACTCAACTCAGACGTGGACAAAGCGGTTGCAGGCGATGGCTTGAGTTTGCGAGATATCCGGCGCGACGTGGTCTGTGAAACTGGTCGTTGGGCTGCGGATCCGGCAAAATGCGTGCAGGAACGCAAATCACCGCGTCCGTGTTTCACAGAATGGCAAAGCGCGCCGTATCCCCGGCGACGCGAGACATTTATTTGGGCAGGGAAAGTAAAAAGTCCAGCAGCCCTTGGTGGAAGAGATGAGGCTGGTCCTTGTAGGCAGGGTGCCCTGCTTGAGGCAGTTCCAGCACACGATGGTTTGGAAGAAGAATAAGACGCTGAAGAGACTGAACACCGAGATTTTTATCCAGTCCTCCGTAGACGATTAACGTAGGCGTCTGTAAAACACGTAACAGGTAAAATGGTCAATGTCATCGCCATCATCATCATCATGGTTTTTTTTATTATTAGTGTGCAATTCACAACACAGGTCTCAATAAAATAAAATTAAAAACCCTCAAAACGAATTTGTAGTTATGCCATTAGCCAAGCGACGCTCGTGAAGAAAATAAAAAAAAAACATTTATTGGTTTGACCCGAGAAAATAAAAGGAGATAAGAGAGCTATTATGAATCACGAGTCACCCAAAATCATGAAAATTTCGTCGATTCACGAGGGACGTCAATTGATACCTGCATGGTGCTTCTAAGAAAAGGTAAAGGTGCAGCCCTGCAATTGCTTGATCAATGCCACCGCCACTGGGAGGGCCTCCACTATCGGGAGTTCAAGACAGCCTATCTCGAGATGATTTTGGCCGCCCCTTTCACGCTGGCCAGACGTCTTTGCAGAGTTGCGAGTACCCGCGCTTTAAACCCACCATGCCGTGACCTGCCGACGTTTGTAAGGCTTACCTGTATTTTCTCATATTCATTGCGTTTGTACTTTGTGGTGTGACTTGGAGCAATTGGGATGAATGCTCGTAACCGCTGGCCGCGTGACATCAGGTAGGGCAGGGAGAATGTTCCACTCATGGACGGCGATATGAGAATCGGACGTTCCATGTGCAGGGCTTTGAAGACCTCCAGCAGAAGAGAGGCCTTCAGTTCATCGGTGTTCACTGCGGGCATCGTCGGGGAATTCCCATAGCCTGCAAAAACGTTTCTCACACAAATGATTTCAGGGCAAGGCTGACGATTGTATAGCATGCACAGGCGTTTCCATCAAAAGCAGGTAAAAAGTTACCCCGCTGATATAAAAGAGAAAAAAAAAATACCCCGTTTTTGCAATCATCCTATATATGCATTTCAAAAAGTTAGTCATCATCAGCTATAATAAATCCAAATACTCTAATAGTGATTGTGTTTTTAATACAATCTCCCCCACCATAGGAACGAGGTATTTCCACCACTGGCTTACGGCCATAAACGACAAATGTTGGCAGAGGGAGATGTGGCCGAGCGATAGTGCGTTTTCAACAAACGGCACCTCCGATTACCACGGTTGGCTACGTACGGTGCGAGAGATGTTCAACAATGCATACATATGTTGAGGAGTTCCCAGGACGCACTCGGAGACGGAGGTAAGGATATATGGGCTTTCGCCAAAGGTTTATTAAGGGCTGTTACAATCTAACACAAGGGTACACAACTCCTAGGGGTTAGGGGTCCTACACTTGAGTCCTGGTCCCTGCCCGGCTAGCTCCGGTCTCTCTCTCTCGTGTCGGATCGGGGACTCTGCCAACTCCACCGACCGGAGAGAGAGCACCTCTATCGGCTACTACCGGCTTCCTTCCAGACTCACTACTCGATCCCTCTCTACCCCTGGTTCCCTCTTCACCCTTCTCACTCTACTCGTTCCCACAGTGACCCCGCTTTTGTCACGGGGTCTCCCTTAAGTACTCTTAGGTTTTTTCGGTAAAGTCACGTAGGTAAAAAATAAAATTTAAAGTTAATAAAAGTAATAATGGAAATGACGGAGACTTGTGTTGCCTCCGAAACGTCGTGATTTATTATTCTATTTTATTTCCATTATTACTTTTATGAACTTTTAATTTTATTTTTTACCTACGTGACTTTACTGAAAAAACCTAAGAGTATGAATCCTTGCAGTCACGAAAGCCTCAAATCTAGAATCTCCCTTAAGTACTCCACGAGACGTGACGTCATCGATCCGCCCAGCGCGCATGACGTCACGTTCCGTGACGTCACGTCCCCATTCTACTCCTCTACACATACGAACGGCAAACTTGCGACCGCTCAGCCATGTCACCGCCACATTCACATTCCAGGCCGCCCTGCTCACCCGGCAGATCCAGCGCCACGGCACGGAAGCTGTTGTTGGCCAGAACGTTCATCGTTCCGAGCTCTTGCCACGTTTGGGAGGTGAAAGCTGCCCCATGCAACAGCAGCACTTCACCTTTCACATTGCTGGAAACAAATATAGACACGGAGTCGTTTATTAATCGTCGTCGTCATCATCAGCCATGGTCAATCCACTGCTGGATGAACGTCTCTCTGAGCCACCGCCACCGCCGCCACCTTTAATAGTTATGCGATGTAAAACTACTAACTATATATATAAAAAAACAATACTTTTTATTGATCGTAAAGTGTACTAGATTCTATTTAATTCATCTATTGTTTACATGAAAGAAAAATAGTCTAAACGTTATTAAGCCAAGACTCAGTATTTGTGTAGCGGTGTGCTGCATTGTAGTCGCCATGGAGCTGTGTTGATAATCTCCGAGAATTACAAAGTCAATGAACACAAAAACATAAATAATGCGAGAGAGACAGGGCCATGGAGAGACAGTGCCATGGAGAGACAGGGCCGTGGACAGACAAAGCTACATGCAGCTCCAGGCATCTAGAAAATGCATGGCCACCTACTGTGCACGTGTGTGTATGTGCACTGCAAGCCACGTGACCCCAGTGGCACGGAAGGCTGCACATTCAACGTTGAGCAAACACCAAAAACTTTTACACTTTGCTAACATTTAACATCCAAAATGATGAACACCCCCCTATCCAATGGTGAAGAGTAGGCCAAATACCCTCTGGAAAGGCGCTCTCGAGCTCCCTCTACTGGAGGCCCACCCACCAACAGTGGCATCAGCATGTAATTGCAGGGCTGCACCTTTACCTTTTTATAATATATTGCGTGGTTGCAGGAATTCATATTCTTGGTTGTTTCGGTAAAGTCACGTAGATAGAAAATAAAAATACAATGAAATTAAAATAAAAAAATTAATTAAAATTTAAAATAAAAGCAGCAATCCAGATTACACATTTTGTGCAATATCGGTGCAAAACGTCTTCACCACCCGTGCTCGGCTTAAGACGTGCATACGTGGATGTGAACATCATTAACGCCCACTTCCAAAACATTTCCAAAGTGCGCAGTAAAAATACCGGATTTCTCAACAATATACAATCACTAATGATGCAAGAGAGAATGGCTTGTGCCAGAAAGATGTGCACTGGTTGAGCATATAAGAGAGAGGAATGTGGAAACGAATGACGAAACGTGCAGTGGGCACCTATGGGCAATCTGCCCGTGGACCGCAATGATGACGACGATGATGAACGATGCGAACAGTGTGGTCAGTGTGAAAACGCCGGGACATCGTACCTCGGAGCTGCTTCTCGAATGAAGAGGGTCACTCGGCCTATTCCTGGTCCCAGATCCAGAGTGAGAAGTGTGCTGTTTGTCACTGGCCTCGTTGGTCCAATGCCCTGATGGCCTAACCGCCTCCTGAGGCCGGGCAGCAGTATGTAGGCCAGAAGAGAGAGCGAGAGGAAGACGGCGAGGCAATAGAGCCTTCCATTCATCAGCGGTTGCCGCATCATCGCTCAGACCTGTTCAAACACAGATGAAACAGTGAAAAATCTTCATATCAAACGTACGAATGTATGCGTGTCGAACTCCTTTCGTGACCGTACGTAGCCAACCGTGCTAATCGTACGTGCGGGGGAAGGACAACCTAAACACGAAAGGGAGTTTAAAAAAATTAACCCTAAAAACTAAGTTTTTCACTATAAATCCTTTATATGCGTGGCGGCTAGAGTCCTCTCGTCCTCTGGCTTGAGATGGCTGCCACCTATGGGTCAGATGATTGCCTGCCACCATTAAGCAATTGGTAATTAAATATAATTTATTTTTTCCTAAAAAGTGTAAAATTTTGGAAAAAAATTTTCACGTAAATAAATTGTCACGCACGAGTCTGTGTGCAAAATGTCAGCTCGATTGGATCACGGGAAGTGGGTTAAAAAACGACCGAAAAATGTGCACGGTCATAAGCGCGCAAGCAAGCAAGCAAATGAACTTAATATAAAGGATTTAAAAACAAATGAGTTTTCAATCTAGATTTATAAGTGCATATCTCCAGTGGCTTCCTAATAAGATCAGAATCATTATTTAGACTGGAGGAATCCGATGAGCTAAGAAGCACTTTTTCACAGATATGCAGTAAGGGCGGGTCAGCAAGTTACAACAGCAAACAATTCAACAAATTATAGGAGTGCAAAATATCGGAAGGATGAGCGTTCCAGACTTCCGCAGACGCGCATCTGAAAGCACGCGATGCAGTGACTGTCTTTGATGGCCTAACAGCATGCTTATACACTAAAAACGCAGCTTAATTTGAAGACAGCCATCCGATCCATGCATTTTCTGGTTGTCCCATGTATTGTTCGGCACAACGTCCGATGTTTCGCTCCAAGTTCTAGGAGCTTGTCCTTAAGAAGCTCCCAGCGCACGCAGCAAAACGTGGGACATCGAACCGAACAGCACGCGATACCACCCACAAACGCATCGGAGAGCCGCACGGCTCAGCTGCGAAAACCTGAACCAATCTTGGGCTCATCCAGCAGTGGATTGACAAACAGCTGTAAATGAGGAGAAAAGAGTCACCTCGACGCAAATGTCATTTTATTCATAGAATATTTTATTTTCCAAAAAGCCTGAATAGTAGACAGCCATTTAAGAATTAGTGCTGACGACCGATTAAGTGTGAACTCATCTCGGCATACCTCACGCACATTTGCATAATGTATGCTAATTAGCATAATGTATTGTAATTAGAATATCTCATGGTAAATAATACGTGCTAATACATGGTAATTTTACTGCGTATATTCGTCCATGGTCCAGAAGAGATATTGGTACCACTTGGGCCAGCAATCGGCCAATGAAAGGAAACAATTTGATCATCTGCTCATTTCATGAAGGCCATCACATAACACATTTTTATTGAATCGTAAAAAGCTAAATATCTGGTCTGAGATCATTAACTATTTGTGGGAATACATACGTATATATCTCACTAGCAAAAGGAAAATATGAATTATATATGCATAAGAATATTAAGTATTAAACCCACCTCAATTCCAACAATTTCCTGCAGCGGTGATTGCAAAATCTTAGCATTTGACATTCCCAATGGAATTTTGGGTACAATCCTTAACCATAAAAACTATAATCAGGTCCTAAGTGAATTGCAAATTGAAATAATGATCACATCCAATCGCTGCCACCATTATTACCACCCAGGGCCATCACAAAGGCGCTATGTTTCACAGACAATTACAGTCTGCAGTAATTTTTCATAGTAAGCGGCGATGCGACTAACCAACGTAAATCTAGAAATTTAGTAAATACGATGCCGGTACGAAATGGCCTACTCTTTTTCGTATTATGTCATGGGATTTTAGCATCCACTGTGAAGCGGATGGCGAGTATGTATTGGTTGAATATACGTGCAGTATTAACCAGGGTGGCCACTGTGGTTCGAACCACGAATCTCGGCCACGTCACCGCCCCACACTTATGTTGCTGCAACGTATCGCGCCAATAAACATCAGGGCACACCTATACACGTTTATCAGTTGAGATATAGTTTCAGTTTGATGACAAATTCACTCACCAGGATTTGTAGCGCAGTGAACGAACCACTGCACTACTGCTCGCCATATCAAAATGACACACACACGGATGAGAGATGCACATTATACCAGCATGGTTATGTCAAACGATGAGATACCAACTCCAGTACACCCATAGCACAAGTGACAAACCCTCTAATTGCGTTGTGTGTGTGTGCTCCTTCTGTGTCGTGTCTGTGAATACCCAGGGGTCTGCGCTTGACAGGGAGAGTGAGATATCTGCTGGTCCCGACAAATACGAATTACTTACAGAATAGAGAACGATAGGCAGTGTAATTATATATCTCGTTTGCTTTTATTTCAGATCTAGTTTCAGTTTGATGACAGATTCACTCATCACGTTGACGAGTTCAATTCCACTCATGCAGAGTTCCTCTATTATTCTATTCTATTTAATTCTGGCCCCGACAGTGAAAGACAGTCGCCAACGTATAGCGTCAATAAACATCAAGGCACACTTATACACTTTCATTTCCATCGCAATTATCGGTCAAATTATTTTTTTGTAACTACTCCTCATCAGAGGTCGCAAACGGGTTTTGATTCCTTACCCGTACCCGGCCGCACCAGGGTCGCAAACGGGTACTCGTACCCGTACCCGTACCCTACCTGTACCCGGCCGGGTACGGGTACGGTACAGGTATCGGGTACCTGATTGCGACCTCTGGGATGAAGCCATGTTGCAGGCGCGGGTGGGTTGATTCTAGGAACTTGAATTGTGTGAAGAGACACGACGTTGGGAAATGAGTGACAAACGATGACTCACCAGTGACTCACGGCCTACCCGTACCCGTACCCGGCCGCACCAGGGTCGCAAACGGGTGCCCGTACCCGGCTGGGTACGGGTAGCCGGGTATCGGGTAGGGTACGGGTATCAGGTACACGATTGCGACCTCTGCTCCTCGTACGTAGAAATATACGCCACACGGCAAGCCTAAAATTGAAGCAGGGAACTCCAGCAACCACCGTCGTTATCATCGTCATCACAATCATCGCTACTACAATTACTGTGCTCCTGTTTTATGGCAACAATTCTGTTGACTTGTGCAGCGCCACGCGCCAGAACCACCCTGCCGCGGGATTACTTGAGGCTGCCCAGGAAGGCAAGCAGTGCCGAGTGCCACTCAGCTGGGCTATCCAGGTAGCAGGCGTGACCCGCGCCCTCCATCTTCAGGACGGTCGAGTTGGGGAGGTTTCGGAGGTTCGACAGGGACGATTCCCCGAGCTGGGAATCCCGGGAGCCATAGGTAATCAAGCTAGGCACCTGAAAATCGAGATAAGGACGTGAGGGAAAACCACCGCCCGTCACGCGCCTGGCATATCAACAACCGCCACCGTACGACCGTCAACTGATGTGAGGTAAAGGTGCAGCCCTGCAATGCCTCGCTTATGCCGCCCGAGAGGGTATTTTGGTCTCCTCTTCCAGGCTGGCCGAGACATCTGCCGATCAACTGTGGCTACTCCCGCTTTTGCTGCTGGTTGGACAGAGGTGGAGGTGGGGGGAATTTAAGAAACTACCTCGCCTGATATACAGGAACTTTTGGGTTCGATCCCAACCCTGACGCCTGCACGTTTGGAGTTTTCATGCTCTCCCCGTGGTTGTGTGGAGTTTTCTCCGGGTCGTCCGGTTTTTTCCCTCCACATTTAGACTCAACATGCGTTTAAGAGTATTTGTCTGCTATAAATTTCCACGTGATAAGTCACTTCGTTGAGCTATAATTTGTGACCAGGTCCCTTCTGTAAAATATCTCTAACATTCTCCCTTGCTGTAAGGGAACTCTTCCTATGTCATGGTCACAGAATGATAGGCCATCCTTGCGTAGCAATGTGTACACTTTTGTGAATGCACTGCTGGATGATCGGTAGCACCCACAGAATGAATTCGCCATACTTCACCACGCTGGTCAGTCAGTGCGAATCAGCAAAAGCGGGTGGCATAAGCGTGGGGACCATAACGCAACAGGACAAATAATGTTGCTGCACTGCCCTCTGCTGCCCACTAACGTAGCTTCGCAGGCACCTATCACAACGCGTTTAATGCACTGCGGTAGCTTCGTAAAGCACAATCCTGGCACAACGCCGATTCGCATCCCAAATCCACACAACGAATTTGACTCCTCTCGCACAGGTTTAAGCCGAGCCTACGTTGTTGATCGTCACCTGCGTCACATTTACCTGCACCTTCTTGTACTGCTCCGCCGTGAATTTGTCCGTGCAGATGGGAGCCACGGGGACAAAGCCACGGACAAGAGCCTCGTGCTCCAGCAGGAACGGCAGAGAGAACATGCCACTCATGGACGGAGACACGAGTGCGCAGGGACCCAGCTGCAGGCTCTCTGACACGAGCTTCAGGAACGTGCCCTGCGCAATTTCTCCCAGGCGCAGGCCTGCCAGCTGATAGGAAGCAGACCGTCCGTAGCCTACAAAGTTGAGATCGGGAATAGCCATCGTCAGACGTGAATTCACGAGAACGGGGCCTCGTAGAATTGTTACGTCTGAAACGGCGGCGTGAGTCAGTTAAACAGGACACTAGGATTTACGCGAATGACGCTGCAGTTGCAAACTCAAAGTGCGTTAGGTAATTCAGTTTGGTAACTGGCGACTAACGACCTCTAAACACTAATTATGAATTGTTTTGCGTCTGTGCATTGTGACCTTGTTTATAATGGATAATGACGAGCACTCCAAGTCGTAATTCAATGGGTCGTAATCAACACGGGACCGTATTTCATAAATACAGGTGAATGTGATGTGTCAGTCATTATTCATTTTTATCTATGTATTTAATACAATTATTTACCCAGGAAATCCTCACCGAGTCCCAAGACTTTTACAGTAGAGTTCTACGACGTTTCGTAGTATGGGTCCGATGTTGCAATGTTTTTTTACAATCGATAAATTTCTGGTAATTGTTGAAATTTTTTGACGTGGCCTAATCTTTTCGTTTTAACGCCACAGGATCTTCAACGTCCACTGCGAAGCAGACGGCGCTTACTTTTCACGGTCAACAGACCCACAGTACGATTCGTAACTTGTCATCTCTTGGGCCAATTGGAGTTGTGCACCCTCCACCACCCAACACAGCCACACCAATCGAGTTGTCACATGGTGGCCAAATGCGCCGAATGACTTAATTTCACGGCAAAACCGGTTACGTTGAAAGGCTCACAACATTTGAATATTCTGTACGATGTCTCGCTGGAGATTACAGCCAGCGTCACCAGGTGTTGAGTGATGTGGGTGCTTGAGTAAATGAAAAGTATTTAAAACTGAAAATGTTTTATTTTACCAGGTAAGGCCCACTAAGCTATATAGCTCTTTTTCAGAAGTCACATGGCCATGAATGATAGCACAACGAAGTGACTTATCACGTGGTAATGTATAGCTGCAAAAAACTCTAAACACATGTTTATAAACGTGGAGGGAAAAACTGGAGAAAATTCACGCGACCACGAGAAGAACATACAAACAGGCATTAGGGTCGGGATCGAACCCATGACCTCCTGTATACCAGGCGAGGAAGTTAACATCTCGCAACCGCGACACCACAGTAGTATTAACCAGGGCAGCCGCAGCGCTCGAACCGCAAATGCTACAAGGTATTGCACGTTTTTTTTCACTGCAGTGTCATGAGGTTAACCTCGGTGTTCATGGCTTGAAAGTTTCTGATTCTCTTTTACCTGGAAGATCGAGCGCTACCACCCGATATCCGGCCTCGGCCAGTTCCTTGAGGGTGCCGAGTGTGAGCCAGGTCTCGGAGGAGAACTTCATGCCGTGCAAGAGTAAAACCGAGAAGCGCCGAGGCACGGAAGGCGCCACCGCTTCGCGATAGAAAAGCCGTTGTCCGTCAACGTCTGCATGGCCCTCGGTTATGTTCACCGCGGCCATCTCCACTTGGAAACTAAGAAACCAGACAAAATATGCCCATCATTCAGCGTAAACGTGTAGTATTTTTTGATGTGTCAATTTCAAAAGTGGCTGTGAGGCCCACTGAGCCATATAGCTCTTGTTTAGAAGCGACCTGGCCACAAATGATTGCTCAACAAAGTGGCTTATCATGTGGAAAATTATAGCAGCCAAATACCCTAAACACATGTTGATTCTAAATGTGGAGGGAAAGACCAAAGGACCCGGAAAAAAATGTACACGACTACGGGGAGAGAGACACACAAACCCCAAATATACAGGCATCAGGGTTGGGATCGAACCCACGATCTCCTGTATTCCGGGTGAGGTAATGAACATCTCGCCACCGTGAAGAGATGCATGCATGTGTAGTGAGCGACTTCCGATACACGACTTGTAGAGGGCTCCTTGTTTATTTCTCACACTTTACAGGCAGAGTCACTGAGCGACATATACACTGGGCTACGTAGAGCTGACCCACTCATACAGCCACGTCGCCGGCGGCTAACTATATAGCTGGCTGGCTGGCTGATTACAGCGACGACGACGACGACGACGATGGGGACCGCACAGCAGATCTGCCATACGGCCAGACGATGATGAAGAGATGACGGCGAAGACAGCGACGGCAGCCAGGACCCGAACCCCCACGACAGCCCCGAACCTCTGGTTACCTCCCCCTTTTATACTCCTCGGCGTGGCCAAGCCCCGCCTCTGGCCACGCCCCCCTTCTAGAACGTTCGTGCAGACTCCAGGAGCTTCCCGACTGATCCCCGACCCTGACCCTTGGCCCAGTTACACCCCCCTCATGGTTGGCTGTTATATAGCGCACCCATACCCGTAGTTACCCTTCATGGTCAACAGACTGCCACTACACATGTATTTAAACAGTGAAAGAGGAAAACTTGGATTCGAGAACACACGATGGTCAACGACATCGCCTAAAACTAGAAAGAAAAGTGAGCGGGCTTGGACCAGCAGGACACGTCGCTAGAAGGGATGATTGCCAATGGTCAAGAATAACAACGGAGTGGCAGCCAAGGAATGGAACGCGTCTCAGAGGTCGTTGACGAAGGAGATGGAGCGATTAAATCAATCAGTGCGCGTGCGGGTGTTGGGTGGATTGCCGCATTACAGGAATTAAATAATGCCCGAAGAAGCTATGCAGTATTGTACCAACATATTTACACTTCTATGACATGCAAAGAAATGCCTATTACAATACTCCACTGATGTCTCAATATTCATTCGTCAAAGCGATTTCCTGCTTAAATGAGCATTGAGGCAGTTGTCATATTCTGTTTACAGCGGTAAGCCAGTTGTGGAAATTCCTCATTCTTATGGCAGGGTAGAGTCCTTCCATCAGACAACCACTGATAACATCCACAAACGGTTGATGGGCTGAGTGAACCCCCAAGCAGGAATGTAACTCTGGATTGTAAGCCGCTGGCTGAGCCAGTATTCGTGAGTTAATGGATAAGTGGAACTCATCTTATCTGCGATGTTGCAGAGTTCAGCGACTCCGCTTTATGGCAACATACCGCAACGCAACCCTTCTGGCATTAATGAGTAACTACAGAACAATATTACATACAGGACAAGCTCGGTGCTGGGCATGCAATTACTTGCTCTTGAACACTTAATTACGATTGCACTTTCGCCTCCAAATCACATCGATTTAAATTACGAAAATGGCACTGAATACAAAAAAACTGGGTTCTAATCCAGGTTTCAGCCATCTGTGATGAAACGGGGCCCTCGAGTGCAGAGTGAGGGTCTCAGGGCGTTCACAAAACGCCCACAATACATTTGGTCCTCAATTTCATTTGGCCACATTACAGCTCTCGAGATGTAAAAACTACACAACGGAAAAGAGCCACGAGCTTTGTTGCGGGGAATGTAACTACAAAGGATAAGCAGGCAATAGGCCTCCTCCACGAATCTATCTCTACACGTAAATAATGTTTTGTTTCACGCATTCCATCAGCCACACAGCCTTCTCCAACAACGTGAATGATTTGGGGTTGTGCATTACACGGTTTAGCGTAGAAATGCATTCGGACCCAAATCTAACAGAAAAAGGTCCTTGCTTCTAAACATTTGGCAATTCACCAGCATTGTATCACGCGAAGCCTGCCTCTGCTGATGAGGCACTGAATGTCAAAACCAGCGCTTGCCTCGAAACATGTCAGTTTTCCAGCGTTGGATCACGCGAAGCCTGCCTCTGCTGATGATCACATCACTGGCAAAGTCTAGAGAACATCCACAAGTTTTGATCAGTGACGGTCTAGAACTCTGGATCACGGCTTCAAAACACCATCCCATGTGGCACGTTCGGGCAATGGTTCGGCAAACGTGAAAACGACGTTGGTTATGGGGGGGGCCCACAACTTTCGTTGTACCACGTTCTAGAAGACTTTGCTGTTTTTTTCCTGAATTTTTCTCTAGTCACTTTAAGATATTCCTTGTTCATGTTTTTGTTTTTTGCGGTTGCACCCAATTCAAAAGCTGCATGGCTCACAGGGTTATCTCCATATATATAAAAGGCAAAGCTGTGAATGTGTGTCTGTTCAAAATGTTTAGCTACTTCCCGACATGCAACAAACTTGACATTTGCCATGTGGGTACTTTCCAGACTGTACACCATGCAAAAATTATAAAAATACACTTTTGCATTTTGGGGGGGGGGGGGGGGGAGCTCAATAATGCTGATATTTTTTGCACGGCAAGTGATCTGTGACGTCAAATCTGTCACGTGACCCGCGCACGTGGAAGCGTAACGCATTGTAGTGTAGTGGTTAGTGCCCTGCGCTACGAACCCGGCGACCCGAGTTCGATTTCCACTCACGGCCACCACAACCGCTCCTGGGCCTCCCCTAGGTCGACTCAGCCTCAAACGAGTAACTGTTGTGGTGTGTGAACATCGCCACTGGGGAGACAAAGGCGGCCGGGCGTGGTGATTCCAAGTCCCGGGCGAAGCCGGGTAGTAAAGCAGCTAGCACCTATTAAACGAAAGTGAAAACTGAAACAGGCGCCGGTGTTTACCAACAACGCACACGCCAATCGGCAGCAGGGCACGGTAACAACAGCACCACCTGGAGGCACGGCTCTTACTGTCTCAAGTGTACACGTGTGTACTGTACACGTGTTTACTGCGGAACAGGATTCGCACACGTGTGTGCAGTGCCGGATTAAGCTGGCGCGGTGCCTGCAGCATGCGTTATGAAGCGGACCTAAATAAAATTTAAATAAACAAATATTAAAACACATAATTTTTTACTTGCATAGTAAATTGTATTTTTTTTTATTTGCTACACAGACAGATACTACGACAAATCTCTAACCTTAAACACCCGGTCGTTCGTAAAAGTTGAAGGCGGTATAGTACTATAGTAATAGAGCAAGTGCAGGATCACTGAACCGGAGTTGATGGCTTGAAATAATTTAGCGTGGGGCCCTTGAAAGTGCGGAGCCTGTAGCTACTACTACACGTGTAGTAGTAGTGTTGTGCATGTTGTGTGTTTTTTTGTATGTGTTGTGTGTATGTTATGTGTATTGTGTGTATGTTGTGTGTGTGTTGTGTGTATGTTGCATGTATTGTGTTTGTTTAGTGTGTGTGTAGTGTGTTGTGTGTAGTGTTGTGTGCAGTGTTGTGTGAGTGTTGCGTGTGCAGTGTTGTGTGTGTGCAGTGTGTGTGTGGTTTGTGTGTGTGCAGTGTTGTGTGTTGTGTGTGTTTGTTTTGTGTGTGTGTGTTGTATGCAGTGTTGTGCATGTTGTGTGTGTGTTGTATGTGTGGTGTGTGTGGTGTGTTTTTGTGTGTGTGTTGTTGTGTGCAGTGTGTGTGCAGTGTTGTGTGTGCAGTGTTGTGTGTGCAGTGTTGTGTGCAGTGTTGTGCATGTTTTGTGTGTGTGTGGTGTGTGCATGTTGCGTATGTGTGTGCAGTGTGTTGTGTGCATCTTGTGTGTGTTGTGCAGTGTTGTGCATGTTGTGTGTGTGGTGTGTTGTGTGCATCTTGTGTATGTGTGTTATGTACATGTTGTATGTGTGGTGTGTGTTGTGTGTGTGCAGTGTGTGGTGTGTGTTGTGTGTGTGCAGTGTGTGGTGTGTGTGCAGTGTGTTATGTGTGTGGTGTGTTGTGTGTGTGGTGTGTGTGTGTGTGCAGTGTGTTATGTGTGTGGTGTGTTGTGTCCATCTTGTGTGTGTTATTTGTGCAGTTGTGCATGTTGTTGTGTGTGTGGGGTGTTGTATGTTTTGTGTGTGTTGGTGTGTTGTATGTGTGGTGTGTGTTATGTGTGTGGTGTGTGTGTTGTGTTGTGTGTGTGCAGTGTGTGGTGTGTGTGCAGTGTGTGGTGTGTGTGCAGTGTGTTATGTGTGTGGTGTGTTGTGTGTGTGGTGTGTGTGTGTTGTGGTGTGTGTGTGCAGTGTGTTATGTGTGTGGTGTGTTGTGTGTGTGGTGTGTGTGGTGTGTGTGGTGTGTGTGTGCAGTGTGTTATGTGTGTGGTGTGTTGTGTGTGTGTTGTGGTGTGTGTGTGCAGTGTGTTATGTGTGCAGTGTGTTGTGTGTGTGGTGTGTGTGTGTTGTGGTGTGTGCAGTGTGTTGTGTGTGTGGTGTGTGTGTGTGTGGTGTGTGTGGTGTGTGTGTGCAGTGTGTTATGTGTGTGGTGTGTTGTGTGCATCTTGTATGTGTGGTGTGTGTTGTGTGCAGTGTTGTGCATGTTGTTATGTGTGTGGGGTGTTGTATGTTTTGTGTGTGTTGTATGTGTGGTGTGTGTTGTGTGTTGGTGTGTTGTATGTGTGGTGTGTGTGTGCAGTGTTGCTACCACAAACGCATCGGGTGGTGTAGTAGAGGTTCGGGCCCCGCACGCTACGAGAACCCCGCCGCCCGACTTCCATTCCCGCTCCACGGTCAACAACAAGCGACGATTATCTTGAACAGGGCCTCCCCTAGGTCGACTCGGCCTCAAAGCGCGGTGCCTAAAACATCGCCACTGGGGTGACAAAGGCGGCCGAGCGTGGTTGCTGACCCACCCCCTTACCCCCCTTCGTGTGCCGTCTCCAAGCCTTCGCATGTGCTACTCAGTCTGTTGAGGCTCCAATGGGGGGGGGTCTTTGTATTTGTGGCACTGCAAGGAAGCTGTAGAGCCAGCAGCAAACTCACCGTGCGAGCTGAGACACGAGTTCGAACCGAGCAGTGGTGATGATTTCCTGGTGTCAACGCCACCTCGTCCACGTCCCCGTCCCCCCCACCATCAAGCATTGGGGGCTTTGGGGCTTTGGGGCCAACCCACCAGGCCAGCCAAACGCATCCAACCCCATCACAAGGCAGCAGGGGGCAGCAGAGCAAACGGAGTTAGAATGATGGTAAAAAAAATTAACCCGCAATAAGTATAACCCGTAAAAACAAAGTTTTTCACTATAAATCCTTTATATGCGTGGCGGCTCGAGTCCTCTCGTCCTCTGGCTTGAGATGGCTGCCACCTATGGGTCAGATGATTGCCAGTATTAAGCAATTGGTAATTAAATATTTAATTTGTTTTCCCTAAAAAGTGTAAAATTTTGGGAAAAAAATTTCACGAACATTAATTGTCACGCACAACGAGTCTGTGTGCAAAATGTCAGCTCGATTGGATCACGGGAAGTGGGTTAAAAAACGACCGAAAGATTTGCACGGTCGTAAGCAAGCACGCAAGCAAGCAAGCGTGGCATCGGGGCGGCTAGAGTCCTCTCGTCCTCTGGCTTGAGATGGCTGCCACCTATGGGTCAGATGATTGTGTGCCAGCATTAACCAATTGGTAAATAAATATTTTTAAAAAATTCCCTAAACAGTGTAAAATTTTGGAAAAGCATTTTCACGAAAATTCATTGTCACGCACAACGAGTCTGTGTGCAAAATGTCAGCTCGATTGGATCACGGGAAGTGGGTTAAAAAACGACCGAAAGATTTGCACGGTCCTAAGCAAGCAAGCAAGCGAACTTAATATAAAGGATTTAATAATAAATAACACTGGTAAAAAAAAAATTCTAGCCTGGACTTTTGCAGCTGTTTTAGACTAATTTCAGGGTGCTGATTCCAAATCTGATCTTAGATTTGCTCTATAACATCTCATTTTTATGCTATCGGCATACCCGATTTTCATTGATTTTACCCAAAATTAACTCTGTCACTTATGATTGCAAGTTGTTGCGAGTCAGTGACTGCTTTAGTGTTAAAATATGGTGCTGTATTTTTAGGATAGTGTGTTTATAATATCATGTTATGTAGATATCCACATTTATTTAATATTTTTCTTCTGCAGTTTTTATTGAAAATGCAATATTTGATATCTCAAAAACCTGATGGAATCAGCACCCCAAAATTACCTTAAACCCGTTGGAATACCTTATGCCAAAAAAAGTGTGTTGACCAGTGTAATAAATAATAAAAATAATAGAAATAAAAATTATAAATGATAAATCACGACGTTTCGGAGGCAACACAAGTCTCCGAAACGTCGTGATTAAAATTTTTTATTTCTAGTATTATTTCTATTATTTATTTTTACATACGTGACTTTACCGAAAAAACCTAAGAGTATGAATCCTTGCAGTCACGAAAGCTTCAAATAGAGAATTCGAATGATGGCTTTAATCTAAAGTTGTCTTGTGGTTGTTGTTGTTTGACTTGCATCTCACTGGGATTTTTGCACACAGCGTTGGTGTACACGGTGCTTTTACTGGAAGATTTTTGCTGTCTTTTCCTGGATTTTTCTGTTTGTGCATAGTCACTTTAAGATGTTTTCTTGTTCCATGTTTTTGTTTGTTGCGGTTACACCCGATTCAAGAGCCGAATGGCTCACAGGGATATACCAAATAAATGAAACTAAAACTGAAACCAATGTCATCCGTCGTTTCGCCCAATACGCCCCCCGATCATCATTCCAGCGATTTCCAACCACGACATTGGGGGTGGGGGGGGATATTTTCGGTTAGTTTTGCCAGTTATCAAAGTATGAAAAAATAAGGACAGGTTTGTACCCTTTCTGGCGATACAAAAGGTCTTAAGACGGTTGCAAGGAATCATATCTGCATTAGCCACACCTACTTGTGGCGATATATGCAAACAAAAAAACATGCTTTTCACTCTTGATTTGAAGCTTTCGTGACTGCAGGGATCCATACTCTTTGGTGGATTTTTCTCCGGGTCCTCCGGTTTTTCCCTCCACATGTAGAAACATGCGTTTTCAGTACTTGGCTGCGATAAATTCCAACTTGATAAGCCACTTCGTTGGGCTATCACCTGTGGCCAGGTCGCTTCTGAAAAATATCTATATCGCTCAGTGGGCCTTACCTGGTAAAATAAAATAAGTTAAGTTTATCATCTTGTATGGTCTGTATTGTGATGCACCAGTGAGGGTGACTGGCAGATACTTGTAGCGGCATGCCAATCGGGTCTTTATGGGAATAAATATGGTGAATAGCTAATACACCCCACACGAAAAACACAGCTAATACCATAAACATGTACATTTTTATTGTTTTACATTAAAATGTAAAGACAGCTATGAATCAAGCTGATTCGCGGAGTAAAATAGCCGATTTTCAGTTAATTGCCGCGTACATTGACGTATTCACTTGAGACGGTAAGAGCTGTAGTAGTTGTAGTGCACACTGCAGGTATGGTAAGAATGTTAACACGATCAATCGTATAATTTTACACAGAGTTATGTGTTTCCGGGGATGCAGTCCATCAAAACATTTTTTTTGATTTTCATTGAAATATATGCTTTATTTATATCTCGAGGGTGGCATTTACAAGTACAGTAGGTGTGCCGACTCTACACAACTTCCAACTATATCCCTTTACAAAATAGACCGCCACAATGCAAAAGTTAACTTCAAAAACTGCATGGTACCATATTTTCCAGATTATAAGACCCTCTCGAAAGTTAAAACATACCCCAAACAAGTCTTCAGTATCAATATAATTATACAAATATGGTATCACACACACACATATATACCTATTGGATTATAAGACACCCTATCCCAAGGTTTTGTTTAAAATACCAGGGAAAAAAGTGCATCTTATTGGCCAGAGAATAAGGCACAAGCCTAATAACATCTGAATTGTTATGGCATCGTAGTACAGAAATTGGAAGACTTTAACATGTTCCTACGGTCTCGGCCACACCAATGTCCTGAGAGTCATTTGATCGAAACTTCACCCATCACTGATCAGTGGTGGTTGGTGCCAAAGGGGCCCAACAAGGCCAAACTCAGGTATCACTCGCCACTGGCCAGGAACTTTAACTCAGATCACCGCACAAATCAATGAGATTCACACACCTCGCACGGACTTTGTAACGCAGTATATAACCCCATATCATCAATGTATGTACATTACTCAAAGGAGGGATATGCAAGCCATTACAGTATCATACAAACGAGGACATTCAAACGGCCGGACTATAAAGGAATCGTCAGCCATGGTTAATTCACGACAGGATTAAGTTTTTCACCACTGCTCACTATCCTGCGATGGCATATCATATCGTTTACACGTTTGTGTAACCAACACTGATGGTGAATGACATCTCTCACGTTGGTGGCTTTTGTGTGTTGTTCAGTGACTCCTCAAAACATTCTCTGCTCCCCACACAAGTGCACAAAGGGATAACGTGGCCACTCGACAACAGCGATGAACTCAGTGAATTTGCACGTGTGTTGTATTTCTCCAGCATATAAGACACGCTCTCCCCACCCCCTCCATCCTTCCTTGTATTTTAAAGCAAAAAGTAACTGCAGCAGGTGTTTGTGTTACTAGATCTGTCTAACGTTACGGATACGGGGTTGCACAACTTTGTAGGTGCGTCTTACTTTCTGGAGCATCTTACTAGCTGGAGAATACGGTGACACCGGACCCTTTTATACCCAAAACATTTTTAAGGACAACGAAGAAACTCACCGAACATTTTACGCAAATTCAAGAGGCAAACAACAAAAATCTAAAAGCAACCGCAAAGCGTAAGATGGAGACAGCCATCAGTGTGAGACTTTATACAAATTGACGTGCGCGGCCACTGTAGTGCCAATACATTTTCATCAAGAGATCAAAGAGCCTTCATGAGATCACCAACAACACACCAATAAGTGCATTACTGTACTTCGGACAAAAATAAAAAACTGAATTTCAAACTTATCAACAGCGATAAAAATGTACCGCGTTGTCAATTATTATGCACTACGAAAATTTGTTTTGTTTTAATTAAAGGTAAGAGGTACAAGCCTTCCAATTTCTTGCTCAAGCAACTGCTGGTGACACGACCTCCAATAGAAGGGAGCTCTACCAGATCACTACGAGTCCTGTTGCGCTGGCTGTACACGATGCTTTGGGCACAAGCGCAATCCGTCAGGAAAAATATCTTTTGCCGAGTGTCCGTGAGATATAAAAAGAGTGAGGGATCTTCAAAACAAAGTGTAAAAAAAAAGTGTCAAAATCAAGCAAGAGTACAAAACTGCAATACCAAAGTGCGTTCGCCAAAGCTATAAAAATTTACGCAATGCAGCAGGAATATTATTGGCAATGACAATCGCTGTCACTCTTGCTCAAATAGATCGACAAACTTCTTGTCCTCGCCATATATTACCATATCCTCCAGATTATAAGACACTTCTTTCCCCCAATTTATATTAAAGTTTGAGGGTGGTTCTTATGATTCAGCAGGTGTATGTGCACGCAACCACATTTGCTTGAGTTCATTGACATCGGGCACAAGTTTGGAGTGTGACTTACTTTCATCAAGCGCCTTATAATTATCCAGAGAATACAGTCATCAAGTGAAATCGTATTATCCCACTCTGCACGTGTTTTATCACTCCGCATGCCGCAACAACTGCCAGATCCAATCATCGACATGCTTTTTCTCTCATAATTGTGCTGTAAAATGTGTTTCCAGGTCACAATAAATCGGCGTTATATATTCTGCAGAGTCTTTGACCCGACTTGAAATTGACTCTGTAGTAGCACCCAGGTAGCTCTTGAAAAGAGGCAATGTTTCAAATGGCTCAATCGGGCCTTTAGTTAATCTTCTGCTTAAAGGAAAATGTATGCTTACTTTTTATGTATGTATGTTATGTGCTCATTGGAGGTTTATCAGACCAGGGACTTTTCAATGTCTATTCTGACATCTTCAAACAGGAACTTTTCCACATCACAAACGCGGGAAATAATGAACTTGGAATTGATTTGAAGAAAATGTATGCTTGCTTTTGATTTGAGAAATGCATTATCCTAGCATCTACACATATCAACAAACACTTTTGGACCACTTTCAAGATGTGTAAAGGCGCGGGACGAAATTACAAAGGCACCGTATATGAGAGGTTTTGGAGAGGGTTTTCACTGCAGGCCAATTGCGGTTCGAACCTGGCGGACACCCCGGTTAATAATCCCGCGAGCGTATTAACCATTACGGGACAGGCAGCGTCCGCCGCGCAGTGGACGTTAAAATATCCCGTTACATTATTCCACAAATAGGCCATCGTGTGCCGTCGCAATGGTTCACATTTTCTAAAGTCGAAAATTCGAAAACTTACACATCTCGCCCGCTCCTTTAAAGCTTCTGCAGACTACGCACATGTGTGAAACGTAGAGCCTATCTAACGTGAAAACCTTCATCAATGAGAATAGCAAAACATCAAGTTCTGAACCCCTTTTTTGTAGCGGACCTCATTCCACTCCATTCCGCTGTGGATAAAGGAATACGATGAATGCTGAGAAAGAATAAAAAAAAACGAACCACGTACAATCTTTGATAGCTATCATTTAGCCAAATGAAATGTGAGTCTTCTCATGGGAAAACGCCGCAAGAACAAAGAGAAACACGGTTGGGAGAAAAAAAATCTAAATATATGTAAAACGTTATGCTGCCATTAAGCACCACTTAACTTCAGTGTTGATATTTATATAAATACACTTTGAAATTATACACGAAACCAACAACTTCACAGCTCGTTTTTTGTCCTTCCGGGAACTCCGATGTCGCGGCTAACGTCACAGCGTCTTCACGTTGCTTTCTTGCAATGTTCGACGCTCGCTGTCTCTCGAAGTCCTACCCATCCACGGACTCTGATGGACAGGATCAGGGCGAGTAGGGTTCATGTCGCAGTGCTTCAAAGAAAAACAGAAGGAAACGTGAAAGTTTATGTTATCATATTAGATGGGTTTTTTTTCTTTCAATTTTACATCTACACATGGGTGTGCAATCATTATTCTAGTAGTTCATTTCAGTAATCCTTCATTTATCGCGGTAGACACGCTCCAGAAAAGTGCCACGTTAAGCTAAAAACCCCATTGCACACATCAGTGACAAATATCTGCACCGATCCTGGGTCTCTACAGGGTTGTCTCAGCCATAACGAGTACATGGCGTGGTGTGTATACAACAGCACTGGCCACACCGCCTCTGTGCGCCGTGCAGGCGTTCATAGGTGCTCGTGAACAGCACTTGCTGCAACAGCCTATGCAGGCGATACGGAGGGGCGGGGGAGATCTTTATCTTTGTAAGAAGACCACGACACAAACGCACCTCTTCGGGGTTTGAAAATGTACGTCCAACCAAGAGCTGCAGGCAATCGTCCGACGCAGCTACAAGAGGAACCACCAGGCAGCAGTCGGCGTTGCGTGTGTGCATCTGGTTCACCTGAAGCAGAAATAAATAAATGAGCAGGGAAGGCCACGATTTCCGTGCAGCGTTGTGAGATGGAGTCGCAATTCGATGCTCTGTACGTCCGCATTGTGCTGTACTGCATCAGCGGTGTGCAGCCCCCATTGCTGATTGTAGGACTGACTGTGTGTGATGAAGCCACTGCCTGTAGTCCAGTAGCAGCCACCACCTGCATGCGCTTTGATAATTATTATAGAGCTGGGACGATTAGTCGAGTACGTAGATCCAACGAATAAACATTGCAATTGAGTGCTTTTTTTTCTGTGATCGCTCCGACATTCTGTCTCCTGAATGCTGGAAACCCCCTATAAGCCACGCCCAGCATGACTTGGCTTATGATGCCCCCACTAGTCACCTCCCGTCCAGCGGCTCACGTGGGAGTGGAGGGTGAGAATTTTTTCTCTCCAACATATTTGTGTTATTTGATTGTTGAGAGTAATCAAATCAATAATTGGAAGAGTGACCAATTACTTATAAAATCAGATTTGTGATCCAGGTCATTCTTGTGAATGAAGACACCATCCTGGTATCTTGGGTTGTCACCTGTTTAAACAAAATCAACTAAACCAAGCCAGTCCTACGGAATGAGCGCTGCGGTGGCGAGATGTTAACTCCTTTGTCACGGTCGCGTGGAATTTTCTCCCGATCCTCGGATTTTTCCCTCCACATTTAGAATCCACGTGCGCTGAGAGTATTTGGCTACTTAAAATTCCCACGTGATAAAAATACTTGGTTGAGCTATAATTTGTGGCCAGGTTGCTTCTGAAAAAGAGCTATTTAGCTCAGTGAGCCTTACCTGGTAAAAAATACAAATATTCTAGTTTAATAGTTTACGACTTTGCCGTGAGCGGGAATGGAAAAACACCGGACCTGAAGAATGCGGTCGTACTGCTGGAGCCCTCCGATGGAGGCCGGGCCCCCTTGCCTCACCGCGCTGACAAAGACGCCCTTCTCCAGCAGCCCATCTGAGAGGCTGAAGCCAAAGTCTTCACCGTCTCTGTCCTTGTAAAGCATCAACTGCAATAAAACAGGAACCGTGGTTAACATCACGCTTGGTCACCCAGGAGGGCCTCGCTGAGTCTCAAGACTCTTATTCAGGAGATTTCCCGCCAAGTCGTCCTAACAGGGGGCGATGTTGCTACGTGTGATCCAAATCGAGTAATTTGCAGGTAATCGTTCGGCATTGGAATGCTGTTTGGCAAATTCTGTATTCATGTTCTCCCCTTTGCTATGTGGCTCTTTTCTCCGGGTCCTCCGGTTTTTCCCTCCACATTTAGAAACCTGCATTTAGACTATTTGGCTGCTATAAATGTTCACGTGATAAGCCACTTCGTTGAGCTTTCATTTGTGGCCAGGTGGCTACTGAGTTTGAGTATATTTTTTATTTTGTAGATGTTTTAGGCGATCGGTTTACCTTTCCTATACTTTTCACTCCTATCGTTTTTTTATTGTTTGCTGTTGTAACTTTCTGACCCACCCCTGCTGAACATTTGTGCAAAAGAGTTTCAAAGCTCATGAGATCTCCAATCGCGAGTTCACGGTAGTGAACAAACACGACCCGTCTTGCACTAGCATCACACCTTGTGGAGTTGCATCGAAGCAGAGGACATGTCATCCGTCTTCTCTCTCGTTGGCTGCCTGTCCTGGGTGTTGCGTGGCAGGCTGTAGCTGCGCTTGGGAACTGTTCCAATGGGGGGCTTGCTGCTCCTCCGACAAGTGTGGCCATGCCTCTGCATGGACGCTTCCAGCAGCGTGCTGCTGTGAAGGCTCGAGGTGCTGGTGGAGTGCAGCAGGTTCGTCTGAAACAACGGGGGGACACAGCTGCCATCGATCAGGGGGGTCCCCGAGGCTAAAGAGGTCATTGGACGAAGTGAAACAATCCTTTTTAGACCAACTCATGAAAAAGGTATTCATATTCTTTGGGTCTTTCGGTAAAGTCGCGTAGATAGGTTAAAAGAAAAAAACAAAATAACAGAAAAATAACAAAAACTACGGAGTCACGTAAATAGGTTCAAAGAAAATAACAAAAACTACGTAGTTTTTGTTAATTCCAAAATACCCAAAGAATATGAATTCCTGCAGTCATGAAAGTCAAAAAGGTTTTATTCGCAAAGGGCATGATTACGTTTAAATTAACTGGTAGCATTGGAAGGCACTCACTCGGTTGGCCTGCCTGAACCAGTGGTAGGAATTCCACTATCCCATGCGGGGGGACAGCTACTCCATAGGACAACATGGTATATATTTTTTCTACCCTAGAGGGATGATGGGTTGAGTCAACCTCCTGACGGGGATTTGAGCTCATGCTCTCTGACTGGCCGGTTATCTTTCAATATCTTTTCGTACAATATTTATTTCTTCATCACACAATCCGTACAAACTTTGTGCGTGCGTCTCAAATTATTCACACGACTCGCATCTCCTCTAATATCACTGATGTGTTCATGCTTTGATCTTTGCTGGTTTTGTGGGGAGAAGAGGTGGGACGGAGGGGAGAGAGGACAGCCATTCGTGGTCTGAGAATGTACAGAAAAAGTCCAAACCCGTTGCAAAAATCGGGGGTTCGTGTATAATTTCAGATCAGGTGGTGGGTCGGTTGGCGGACGCGTGGAGAGTTTAAAGAGTAACCATGGTCTCCCTTTCCCTTGCCCCGTGGGCATTTGGTCTTGGGCTTGTCGTCCGCAGAATATCTGTACGCCCTCTCCCCATCGCTCATGCTTTGTACCGAGCTCTTGTTTAGTAAAATATTTATTATATCTACATATAAAAAGGGGACCGCAGTTCCCAGTAACCTGTAACCGTGTTCGTAATTCCATAGCTCAGGTATCCCAATGCTCAGAGATGACAAGAGCACGTTAACCCGCATTACAACTCTTTTAAAAGGAACGTGTGAAAACCTTACCTCCAGGTCATTCATTGCTCGGGGAAGATGGCGAGATCCCATGTCCCGCAGAGGCTTTCTCCAGTAGCAGCCGTCGTCCAGGCTGAGGAAGTTCTGACTCCCAGCGTTTCTGTGGAATTGCACAGCGGCGGTTGTAACTCGCACGTGCACACACGGCCGCTTGCGTGTCAATCCACCGCTAGATGAGGGCCTCTCCACGTTATGTACGTCACGGGGTTTATTTGACTGCACTTCACCACGCTGGCCTGTGCGAGTTGATGAAGGCAAAGAGCAGAGACGCGGGAGCATAGAAGTAAAGCACAACAATTAGTAGCCCCCACAGCAGCCTGTAACACGTTTAATGCACGGTTCGTCATGCATTCGAGCACTATCCAAGCTCAAGCCTGCTTAGCTTCCAAGGTCTGATGATATCAGGCTCATTCCGGATGGTTTGGTCATATGAATAAGTGCAACTTATGCGGCTGAATGACAAAATGCGGTGCTTTTCAGACAACTGTAATGCATGTCAGTCCTGCAGAATGTGTAGCAGCATGCTCGGAGAGAATTAATGTTCCTATAATTCCTGCATAGGCCGACACTGGCCTAGATATTGGACAGCCTAGAACACACAGGATAGGCAATGTGGCCACTGATAGTGGGATATGGAGGGTGGGCAAAGCCTAGCAAAAGACAGATCAAAGGGTGCGAGTGACTGAGGCATTGCATAGAAGTGAAGCGAAACATCATGGGCAGAAAGCCAGCACCACCATTCGTGACAGAGAGCATTGGGGAGGCATTGCCACCAGGCCACGCACTCAGCGGCCTGCGTAGGCCCGAGAGGGATAATGACGACGACACGAGAGAGTTCTAGATTTGAAGTTTTCGTGACTTCAAGGATCCATACTCTTTGGTTCTTTCCGTAAAGTCACGTAGATGGGAAAAAAAATGTTTTCGACTCACATGGCCGTGGGCTTGTCCCAGTCATCGTCGCCGGTGCCAATGTCGCTGGGGGGGTAGGCGTGGTCTCCCGTGTACGCGGTACCTGCTTGCCGCGCACGCCACACGCACGGCAGAAGAGACAGCCCCCCTTGTACTTGGTACTGCGGCGGGCCTGCCACGCACACGGCACACGGCGAACACAGCAAGGGGACGGCAGCTCCAACGCGGCGACACGGTCGAGCGGGAGGGAGTTTTCCGTCCGTTGCAAAAGTTCGCGTGCTCAGAGCCCAGTGGCCGAGTGCAAAGTGGCTCTCGATAGAATCGGTAAAGTACAGAATTTGTTTTAAGCAAGCACAGTTAATCCGCAACTCACAAAATCCACCCACGGATAATCGAGAGTTCACTGTCATCACACTAATATACCCTATTAATGGATGCTACACGCATCACAATAGCATGTTTTTTCATCTGTGAATAAAATTATGGCCCACATTCAATCAATATTAAGACTTTCACAGCTGGTGCCCATCCATTCTCGGGACCTGGCAATGCCCTCCTGTCCCAACACTTCAAGTATGCAGGATTTGTTTGCATGCCACACACACTTTTTGTCTGCTGCTACTGCCATCCCGTGGTAACATCTAGAAAAGAGATATACTGCATAAGTCCTATTCATTCTGAAGGAAATAAAAAAAAAAATCAAACTTACTAATTTTATTAAATCTAATTTGAAACGTGGCTGGCTGGAAGGTGACTACGGTTGATATACGCATTGCTTTGACAGGGGTAGTTTTTTCATATCACGCCAAAATTTTACGTTCACAGCAAACCAGCAACTTTTGATTGTTCCTTTGATATGCTGGTTTACACACGAAAACCTCAGTCTTTAGATTATTTTTTCAAGAGGGTCATAGCAAGGTTTTACAGATGGGGGCCGATGTTCCTATGTGTAGTGGGCACCATGGTGGCGAGATGTTAACTACCTCGCCTGGTATGCAGGAGGTCGTGGGTTCGATCTCGACCCTGCCTTCTGTATATTTGGAATTTGCATGTTTTCTCCCTGTGGTTGCGTGGATTTTTGGCTGTTATAAATATCCACGTGATAAGTCACTTCGTTGAGCAATCGTTTGTGGCCAGGTCGCTTCTGAAAAAGGGCTACATAGCTTAGTGGGCCTTACCTGGTAAAATAAAAAAATAAATTTAGTTTTAAGTTGCCCAAATTGTGTAATTTGGAAGTACATTTTTGGTATTGCGATGTCTGGCCAATACCAGTCACGTTGCACATTTTGTTTAGCTACGGGAGGAAACCCAGGGAACCCCAGCAGGTAACCCACACAGAAGAGGGGTAGAGAACATATAAACTCCACGCACAAAGGCGCCCGAGTCGGCAATTGAACCTCAGGCCCTTCTTGCCGTGCGGCACGAGTGGTTACACCACTGCGCGCCAACCCCTGCCGCGCCAATTAATCGAGTGCGTCGACCGTGTGAACTGGCAGAAAGCGTGCAGTGGCAGGCGGGGGGGGGGGGCATGAATGATGAATGAATCACCGTGGCTGCTGTAGGCCGTCTCTACGCCTGAGCTGTCCCACGAGTCAGCGGTGCCGTCCACGCTGGGCACGGTCGCGGCGGAAAACGCGTCGGACAGCTTGCCCAGTGTCCTCATGTCGGCCAGCTCGTCCGCCGGCTCGCTCAACTTGACGGCAAGCTTCGGAGCGTCGCGCGTCCCTGCGGGACACGTCGAGAGGAGTGGCGTGCCGCCGAAGCGATGGGACGGTCGGGTCAATGGATAAACGACAAATGTTAAACACGAAAGTTTTCACAGCTACTTTTAAACCGAGTGTTTTTTTTATGAGGGATTTGGGCGCTGCGTGTTGAGCATTTCTTGCCCTCGAACTTTCTACAAAACTCCTCGAGATGCCTGCGGTAGGGCACGGTCTTCTTCTTCTTTCGTACGGCTGATGTAGATGCAGAGCAAAACTACAACGGACAGAGCTGACGTTCAGACAGATGCTTTAAATTATAGATTTGAAGCTTTCGTGACTGCAAGGATTCATATTCTTAGGTTTTTTCGGTAAAGTCACGTAGGTAAAAAATTTAAATTAATAAAAGTAAAATAAAAATAAAATAAAAATCACGATGTTTCGGAGGCAACACAAGCTTCCATCTTCAGGTGGAACCGTCACAGCACGATAGCTGTATCAAGTGAGAGAAATTCCAAGAAAACAGTCCTTGTATATATACTGGTTGAGAGTGGGAGGAGCCAAGGTAGGCCCTGAATATTATGTTTTTGAGGTTCCATGCGGCTGAAGCACGCTGTTAGGAATAAGCCTTTGTTGTGTAAACTTTCAACCCAAGGTCGGACAGCGTTAGAAAATGCGATAATATTCAGCGAGAGGAAACCACCGTGTCTGCCACTTACGTTGTTGAGTGGGTTTTTTTATCTTTAGCGCGACCGTTTCGCTGGACCTTTGCAGCAGCTGGATGGCTTCAGCCAGCCCCTTCGCTTTGAGGCTCACGTTGTTTATGGCCAGGATCTGGTCTCCCACGTGGATGGCGCCAGTCCTGCAAAACGTCGATCGGAAAGGGCAAGCGATTACGCTGCGAATACGAGGACTTCTGTTATGGAATATATTTACATATATGTAGCATCGTATACAGCCCTTTTAACAGTCCACTGCTGGATGAAGGGCTCCCCATGCCGTGGTGGTCGTTGGGGTTATTTCGACATACTTCACCATGCTGGATAGTGCAGGTTGGTGAAGGTGAGGGGTATAGATGTGGGAGCATAGTACCGCACAAAAATAAATAAATTGCCACAATTGCCTCTTGCTACCCACAAACCTAACCCTGCAGCAGCCTACCAGATCTGTTGCAAGCACAGTCCAGGCTTAAACCAGCCTAGCTTCTGTGATTTGACGAGGCCATTTGTCAATTCCCGTGTCACACATGGACTCTTTGAACGAAACTATTTTGTATTTTACCAGGTAAGACCCACTGAGCTATACAGCTCTTTTTCAGAAGGGACCTGGCTACAAATGGTAGCCCAACAAAGTGGCTTGTCATGTTGAAATTTTGCCAAATACTCGAAGCGCATTGTTTATAAATGTGGAGGAAAAAACCGGAGGACCCGGAAAAAAATCCCCACGACCACAGGGAGAGAGACACGCAAACTCCAAATATGCAGCAGGTGTCAGAGTTGGGATCGAACCCACGACCTTCTGTATACCAGGCAAGGAAGTTAACATCTCGCCACAACTTACCAGCTACAAATGAATCCGACTCCCATGGGTGAATGGTTTCACAAGTAATATAACGCCGCATAATTATCGATGTCTCTGGTCAAATCACCCATAATGGTGGCTGGTCTCATCAGATCTCTGAAACTAAGCAGGTCTGAGCCTTAAAGGAGCGTGCTTGGCTGGGAGATCACTGTGCAATGCAAGGTTGTTATATCCGTAAGAGGTTTTTGGGTTAGATCGCGTACACATATATAAATGTGTCGTTAAACTTGGCACCACCCGACGCAGTCAATAATGAAGGTTTGTCACGTAAATAAAACATACCAATTCTTTACTAGTTCAGCACACTGTTGTGTGTTGGAGAGTAAACCTACAACATTTACCATTACTGTATAATAATGGTCGCGAAAGCCTACGTGTTAAACCAAGGTTGTTATAGGTGGCTGCGGGGGCTGCACTACATGGTGGGGTCAGCAAAGGCCAGTGCAGCCAAATCCGTTGTTGTACCGAACTGCTATGCCCCACACCGCTCTCTGTCTTCACCAACCTGCCAGTGTGAAGAAGTACACTCAAGTAACCCCCCACTACCATGGCCCGCACAGCGTGGGGAGGCCCTCATCCAGCAGTGGATTGACACAAAGAGGCCGTGCGTGAGCGTGTGAAAGTTACGCCACCGCTGTGAAATTTCGCACAAGCGCCAGGAGTCACAACTTCCCCGGCCCGGGCGACGGGACATCGGGTCTAGGCCAGCTGCCACGCACCACCAATGCTGTGGACGGCTTTCACGCGTTCCATTTAAGAGAGCTATAACGTGGGTTGACGTGATCCATCACCTCTAAGCGCTCGGACACGATTACAGATTAAACTCGGTGCCGTGCGTGTACCGTACATGCATTGGGGGACGGGAACTCGCCTTTCTGCAAGTCCACTGGGCGTGAGGCCAGATATGGTGATAGGGTCGAGGGGTTCCTCGGTGCCGGAGATGGTGATGCCCAGGGGACCCCCGTAGCGCTTCAGTTCCACGGTGTAGCTGATCGCTCCTCCCTCATCGTCTGCGCAATGCACACTCACGCGTGTCACGAAGGAAAACTTTCGCAATAGCACACGCAACTTAATAGCTGCGAATGCCCCCACCCCCGCACCTCCCCCCCCCCCAGCTCCGACTCCTATGGGTAAAATGTTTCGCAAGTAATATGACGCTAAATTTCGATTTAAAGCTTTCGTGACTGCAGGGATTCATCTTCTTGGTTCTTTCGGTAAATTCACGTAGAATGGAAATAATCTGCATTTCCCATAAATATGCTAAATTCCTCTTGATATGCAAATTATTTTGTCAAGGCGCTCTTCCCCCTCCAACCCAGCTTAAATAGACACTCCAAGCCTGGGGTGTCTCATTCAGACTGTCTTCTCGACAGCCCTGTTCTTCACCTGAGGACGGCTGCTTGCGTTGTGGCCGAAACGTCGTGAGAATTATTTTATTATGTTTTATTTTTATTATTTCCATTCTATGTGACTTTACCGAAAGAACCAAGAAGATAATATGACGCTGTGTAAGGGATGCCCCTGGTCAAATCACCCGGAATGACAGCGGATCTCGTCACATCTCTGGAGCTAAGGCAGGGGCTGAGCCCTGAGAGGCGCTTGGATGGGAGGTTGCTGTGCACGCCAGGTTGTTATAGGGCGGCTGCGGAGATGCACTACGTGGTGGAGTCCCGCAGAGGGCAGTGCGGCTAAATCCGTTATTGTCACCGCATCGCGCGCTCTCAGATTCATAATAAAAGCACTCTCAGATGTGCTCCTACGAGCGTCTAGAACACTCTTCCTTCCGACATTAGGAAGCCACTAGAGCAATGCCCTTTTTTTCATTTTACTGCTTTATTTGTTTAGTTTGAGGTCCTTCCCGCACACCTCCGGCTGGCACGGTTGGCTACGTACGGTGTGACGGAAGTTCAACATACACGCGTACAACAAACATGCGTACAAACGTACTGGCTCCGTCGTCATCCTTGCGGATCTTCAGCTTCACCAGGTCCTCGCTCTGCCTCAGCACCTGCGCCGCGTCGGCCATCGACGCGTTCTCCAAGTGGACCTGGTCGATGGCGAGCAGTCGGTCCCCGGGTTCCAGCGTTCCGATCCTTATTTTCCCCGACGCGGACCCAGCAGCACACGCGCACAGCGGTTTACAATGAAAAGGGCTGTCGCGTTACTCAAATACCTGCAGCTGGAGAAACCCGTCGCCCTGCTCTGCGTTATTTTCGGTGGCCTGATCAAGAAATACGCCGCATCAACAAGGAAGACTAAATGTCACGTGTGTGTGCAAGGGCCCTTGAATGCATTCCAAGAAGTGTTTAGCGATGATAACGAACGCTAAGTTTCGGAGAGAGCACAATCTTTATTTATACTGGAGGAATCAAAATGAGCCATGAAGCTCTTGTTCACAGATGTGCAGTAGGAGCGGGTCAGAAAGTTACAACAGCAAAGAATACAAAAACATGATAGGAGTGCAGAGTAGAGGAACTGAATATGAGAGGAGATGGTTCGCCTTGGGGGGGAGGTGGGGAGGTTTTAAAGAACGGATTTGAAATACCCGTGCCTGTAGTCACATTCTATTCGGCTCTGGCAGGCAAAGGGTTTATTCACTACGGACCACGTGTGTCAGTGCTATAGCGGAGAGTATACTGTTTGCAGTAACATTCTGCATGTTTCGTATATGTATGTAAAAAAAAATGGTACTTGTTAGTTTGCATATTCCTTCCCGGCAATGTGTTCTGTAACTGCCGCTACTACCGACAGTCTTGGGCTGGTCATTCTTGTCAAAGAGCTCCACAGAAAAATGGGCCTCACCAGCCGAATTAACAAAGTGCGAGTCTCAGCATTGGATGTCTGCCGTGTTTGGGTTCGTGTCCAGGGAGGGCACTCTGAAGGCCGTAGACCGCCTGCCCACGGAGCTGTTAGCTCATTTCTCAGAAGCGACCTTGCCACAAATGATAGCTCAAGGAAGTGGCTAATCACGTGGAAATTTCTAGCAGCCAAATAATCTAAATAACGTTAGCATATTTTAAAATGTAGGGAAAGGCCGGAGAACACGGAGAAAAAAATCCACGCGACCACGGGGAGAGAACACACAAACTCCAAATATATAGGCGTCAGGGCACGGAATAGAACCCCCGACGACCTCCTGCATACCAGGCGAGGGAGACCACATCGTCACCGTGGGCGTGGCGTTATCCCGTCGCTGTGGGAGTCTGCGCACTCACCTGTGCGCCACGCTGCCCTTCCTGATGTCCGTGATGACCAGCGGCTCCCCGAAACTGCGTCGTGACGTAGCTGGAACGACGAGGTCGTCGGTTTACATGCGACAGCAGCGCACCCATCCGGAGCTCAAGATTGCCTCCCACGACGGAAACACGACGTTGGTTTCTCGTCGGGTTGACTTCGTCGCATTAACGAGCACAGGGCCGTGCTCAGCTCCTGTTCCCAACCTTGTGCCAGTGGTGAAAATCGCTCATTACTATGGCACGAGCGAGTCTATCCGTAGGACAACCGCTGTTGACAGGTCATTTGTACCGACCCCAGAATGATGGTGCCGAGTCATTGCACATCGAAGATTTGAAATCGCAACCTTCTGATTGCTAGCCGCTCACTTTACCGCTGAGCTGCCAAGCCAGCTATATATCTATCTATAAAGATGAAAGACAAAGATCCCCCGCATAGCCTAAACAGACTGTTGGGGCTAGTGCTGTTAGCGAGCAGCTTTGAAGGCCGGCACGGCACACGAGGGGGTGGGTGGCCAGCATCATGCCCGGCTGCCTTTATCTCCCCGGTGGCGATGTTTACACACCGCACCAGGTACTGATGTGAGGCTGAGTCGACCTAGGGAGAGGCCCAGGACTGGTTCAGAAATCGTCACCGGTGTTGGCCGTGAGCGGGAATCGAAATTGGGCCGCCGGGTTCGTAGCGCAGCGTGCTAACACATACATCGATATTAAATAAAATCAAATTTCGTGTAACATAAGCTGGCTCGGTCAAATTACTTTGAAAATATTGGCATTACAATCCAGCTGGATAAAACATTACATGGAAGGAAGGTAAACAAGCTAGGGACATAGAATCAGAGACACAGGACTCGATATTAACAGGAGAGAAATACCGATAGCAAAACCCACTCACAGCTGATCGTTATTCCAAGCTCCACACCCCTCTTCTTCGGGAGCTTCACGTGGAAGATGCCGCTACTGGGGACCACGGATTCTGTAAACACAAAGAAAAACAAACAAAGGAAAACACATTTGGAGTTCAACAGTGAATCGAGACAAGCACCATCTCTTGCATTTGGCTGGAAAAACAGATGCTTCTAAGTATACATCAAGGTTGGTTCCTGTTCCCCCCCTATCAATCAGAACGCGTCGGGTAACTTAGGCCTGGGGGATATTCTCGTACGGTTGTTTTTTTGTCACCCAACGTTCTGCTACGGGCCTTTGTTCTTGTATACAGCAAAAAAATCTCATGAAAAAAAAATCTATATATATAAAATCGCAAATCTGTCTGTCTGTCTGTGTGTGTGTCTGTCTGTCTGTGTGTCGCCGGACCATACGCAGTTTCATTGGACGAAATGTGAGGGATTTGCGAGACACGATTGGTCCGTTTGGTTTTCCACGGCGATTGCCCCTGGCAACGGGTAGCGACGCATTCGCTGCGGGGTGGACGCCATTTTTAATTCCCGTTAAAAATATGCGCACGCATTAACACGCGACTCTGAGGTAAATTCATCAAAGTTTCACGTCCTCTTCACTCCCCCCCTACCCCAATGTGTGCAATTACTATTATAGGGTCGGTTGATAATAAAATTATAGCGATTAGACAGTATTATTGTAGCGCGGGGGGGGGGGGGGGGTAACGGCCCCAGTACCCAGCCTCAGCCGGGTGGGCAATTTAGGCGAGGCCGGAGGCTCTGCACGGTACTAGGCCTCGACACCCCACCACACTATAGGCCGTACATATTACTGCACAGCGGCCGAGGAGATCGTGGCTGGGGGGGGGGGGGGGGGGCAGGGGTAGCAGCCCATCTGTGTATATATGTAAGGTTATTAAGAAATATATTTTTCACCCGGGCAACGCCGGGTACTTCTCCTAGTATATATATATAAAACACAAAAAATAGTTCAAGTTTAATCAGAGCAAACATTGCACAGATTCATATTGGAGGCTGAGATTTTGTAAACGCCTGATCACGCCGGATGTAATCTTCAGCGAAACATCAAACTACATTTTTTCGAAAAATTTTCCTTGCTTTTCAACATTATAGTTTGCTGAAAAAACTAATCAATTGGTATATTTGCCCACGTGACAACTTGATTTCACTGACTCTGTCTAATGGAAGAGGATTATAGTTTAAAACCTGATATTATATCTCAACGTAACCTAAAATAAACCAATCATTAATCACATTACACGTAATAAAAAATGAAGTATACATTCCGATTACGGGCAATTTGTGCATTTAGAACACGGCATTTATCAACAGCGGACAAGAAAGAACCCACGACATTACTCAACAGAGTAAGGCGATCACGTGCGGGCGTCACGGTCCAAACCTTTCCATTTAACAAATATATATACCCGCAAGTTAGTCGACTGGGGAAGACGCATTGCAACATGGCCCGCTATCGTGAAACCATCGCAGACCACGTCCCACGAAACACAGCACCAACCTTCGCGATGGCCTCGTGCTAAAAGAAAGAACGGCGGCGCTTAGTGCCACGCGCGTTGACAATTCAATCACGTCGGGGGGGGGGGGGGGGGGGGGGGAGAGTTGGCAGCGGCAGAGGGCCAGCTACCTGCGACGTCGAACTCTATCTCGACGGAGACTCGGCCGGCGAAGGCCGAGTCTCGGAGAAGCTGCGACGCTTCCTCCAGCGAGCCGTCCTCCGTGGAGATGCCGTTGATGGACAGGACGCGATCGCCCACCTGGAGGAGGCCGCACCTGCAGGCCCCGGTTCGCGATGCACGCACGCGCACACACAAAACGCACACGTGACGTCGCGCGGCCAAGCTCGCCGCTAAAAATTTAACCGGTAAAAACAAAGTTTTTCACTAAAAATCCTTTATATGCGTGGTGGCTAGAGTCCTCTCGTCCTCTGGCTTGAGATGGCTGCCACCTATGGGTCAGATGATTGCCTGCCACCATTAAGCAATTGGTAATTAAATATAAAAAAAAAATTCCTAAAAAGTGTCAAATTTTGGAAAAAAAATTTCACGAAAATAAATTGTCACGCACGAGTCTGTGTGCAAAATGTCAGCTCGATTGGATCACGGGAAGTGGGTTAAAAAACGACCGAAAGATTTGCACGGTCGTAAGCGCGCAAGCAAGCAAGCGAACTTAATATAAAGGATTTAAAAAGCCGTCATCGTGAGGCATGGTCGGATCCTGCTGCTGCACGTCGTCCACGCTGGCCGTCGAACAAAGACGGTCGCCGCGTCTGCGGCCGTCTGGAATGCTCTTCCTTCCGATATGAGCAAGCTATGCACTTCTAAATGTAATCTCTTTAGAACTGCTTTTTAAGTTAAGTTCATTGTCTTTCCCCCACACCTGCGATTAGCACGGTTGGCTATGTACGGTGGGAAATAAGTTCAACATACAGACACACTTACATACATACATACAGACATACATACATACAGACAGACATACAGACATACATACATACAGACATGCTGACGAAAATCAACACATGCCATGGAAGGCACAACTGAAGGCACAAGGTTAACTTGTATTAAGCAGGACATTTACATATCTTATTCTTTGGATCTTTCGGTAAAGTCACGTAGAACAAAAAAAATTAAGCGACTTTATCGAAAGACCCAAATAATATGAACTCCTGCAGTGACGAAAGCTTTAAGTCAAGACTTACATATCTTATTTACTTATTTCGGTAGCTTTTTGGGCTTACTCTGAATTCTGGCTTAGTCAAGTCCGGCTTGGATTGGTTTGAATGTATAAAAAAAATCCCACCATGCCCATTGTACAGCGAAGTGTGTGTGTGCATATGCTCAACCGGTAGCGCAGTGGTTCGCACACTGCACTACGAACCCGGCGGCCCGAGTTCGATTCCCGCTCATGACCAATAACAGGGGGCCAATATTTGAACCGGTTCTAAGTGCCACGGTGCGGTGTGTGAACCTCACCACTGGGCATGCATGGTGCTGGCCACCCAATGCTCTCTGTGTGCCGAGACAGCCTTAATGTGTGCTCCTTGACAACACAAGCCCCAACAGTCCATTAAGGCTACGTAGGGGAACCTTTGGCTGTTTTATTTGCTCGACTGTACCTCTCGGCCGGGCTGTCGGGCTCGATGAAGCCGACCAGGGGTGGGGAGCAAAGCAGCTCCGTGGAGAAGACGCCTCCCTGGAGTTGCAGGCCAAAGCCCGACATGGGGTCACCGAGTAGAACCACCTCCGTCGTGTCCGTGTGGACCACCTGCCCGTTGAGACCCAGCGTGCTCGATGCGATGGAGACTGCGGCGCGGGACAATGGGGAGAGCGTGCCGAGGTGGGCGAGCGAAAAGTCAGCGGCTTTGACGGACGACGGGAGCAACAGCCAAGGGGTGAGCGACGGGTTAAATTCTCCCAGGTGTTTTCAGGCAGTGCCGGGTTGCCATTCGGCACGATGTGCGACGTTCCCATCAATGTGCTGTTCACAGGGGCAGTTTGAGCAGAAGTTCCACCCAAAGAGTCCAGGTGCCTCGATCACCAGCAATCTATTGTTGCTGGCGGAAAGAAAAAAAACCTCTCTGCCAAGTGGTGAAGGGTTTCCAATGATATAAAAATTAACCCGTAAAAACAAAGTTTTAGACTATAAATCCTTTATTCCTTTATATGCGTGGCGGCTTGAGTCATCTCGTCCTCTGGCTTGAGATGGCTGCCACCTATGGGTCAGATGATTGCCTGCCACCATTAAGCAATTGGTAATTAAATATAAAAAAAAAATTCCTAAAAAGTGTCAAATTTTGGAAAAAATTTCATGAAAATAAATTGTCACGCACAACGAGTCTGTGTGCAAAATGTCAGCTCGATTGGATCACAGGAAGTGGGCTAAAAAAGGACCGAAAGATTTGCACGGTCGTAAGCGCGCAAGCAAGCAAGCAAGTGAACTTAATATAAAGGATTTAAAAAGGGTCCAATTGACGTATGCATGTGGAACCTCTCTCGCGCCGTACGTAGCCAACCATGCTAATTGGAGGTGCAGGGGAAGGACAACCAACGTTGCCTTCCCCAAAAAGTGATACCTATTTTATCGACCCCAAAGCGATGATGGCCACAGTCTACACCGTAGCCAGGATGTGAACTCGCAAAAACCTTCCCTTCGCGAGCCGCTCGCTCTATCGCCGGCCGAGCGATGGCGTGCACGCCGAAGGTTCGCCGTCGCGCGGAGCCACTCACGGGAGCTCTTGAAGTCTTTCTTCTTCATCCGGCTGCGAGCGAGGGTTCCCCGGGGGCTCATGGGCGGCGGGTAGAGCCCCCCCCGGGGGAGCGTGGCGACGTGCAGCGAGCTCAGGCTGCAAGTGTGGGCGCGCAGTGAGGTCGGGGAGAACGAGGCGGACACCAGTGCGGCTGTGCAGCGGACACGGGACGGAAAGAAACGTCTGCGCTCATTCGTAACGTTGCAATTCTATCAGGGTCCCCACCCGGTGTGAATAAGTCGCTCGCTTCGTATACTTATTTTGCCCGCTTTCAACAAAACTATAACTTTTTGGACAACGGGGGTTTTTGTTGGTTGCGTTTTTTTTCCACGCAAACTCCTCCAAAAAAAATTACGGGGGGGGAAAAGTTATCAGATCTAGCAGTCTCCCGACTATTATTCTCTCAATCTCTGTGGCTTCTCTACCCTCCTGCTATGAAGGAGGGGCCCATTGCCAATTGTACATATATATTCCTTTTAGGGCGGTGTTGTACATTCATGTGTTGAGTTTTTGCTATCTGTGGCTGTGCACCAGTGCCAACTCGGTATCGGAATTAAAATTAAGGTCAACAACGATCAGAAAAAAACTCTTGGAAGAAAACTAAAAGCACAAATCTCCTGGACTATTCAATATCACCCCATCCACAGGCCCTTGGTTGGTATGATACCTTAATTATTAATCAGTGTATTTACCAGAAAAGCCTCACTGAGTCTCAAGACGCTTGCAGGAAAATCCTGGCAAGTTTGCGCAGCAGGGAGCGATGTTGCTGCGTGTAATTCAAATGAAGAAATTTACAGATTTTTTTTGCAAGTTACAAAGTTAAGTGGGGGGTGGGGGGGGGGGGGTTAACCAAAAGAGGAAACCGGAAAAGCTGCTCCGAGGCACAAGTGTTACCACAGCGCCACCCTGCCACCCAATCTATGTTGAATCAGGGAGCTGCTACCTGTCGTGGTGACGTATTGTTATTATGAAACAAAATTTTCACGGAATTTTTAAATCTCGATTTGAAGCTTTCGTGACTGCAGGAATCCATACTCTTTGGTTCTTTCGGTAAAGTCACATAAGTATAAAATCAAATTAAATACCTACGTGGCTTTACCGAAAGAACCAAAGAGTAGGAATTTTAAAAGTGCACAAAAAACTATGGACAGGTGCAGGCTTGAGGCATTACGATAAGAGAAGAGAAACTTGTGGATTAGAGACCACACGCAGGTTAGAGACATCATCCAAACTTTTAAGTAATAATTTGGCTTGCACAGAACACACCAAGAGAAGGGATGGTGGTGGCCGATTGTCAAGAATAACAACAATGGAATGGGAATGCATGCAGATGTAAACAATACACGGTAGCAATAGCAGCATGAGAGCCTGAGGTTGTTGTTCCATGACAAGAGTTAAATGGCGCCACACAGAGCAGCCTAAGCAGGCAACGTGCTCATCACTGAGCCAGTGTGCACAGGATATTCAGAATGGACAGCGAGCGGCTGTGATCATGCACACACCACAACAGGCAAAGATGGAACAACGTGGACTCATTGAATCCGTTTTAGCAGAAGGGACGATTATACATGAAAAAATTACTGAATGAAACTGGAATGAACTACTGATGGCAATCAACGGTTCAATACAGGTAAAGAAAGTCAGTCGATCTCCGTGCACAAACAAGCCGCGGGGCGTGGCACCAGTGGCGTAGAGCGTGGTTGGCACCGCCCCTGGTGCACGGTGCAGTTGCACAGCCTGCGCACCAGAGGTCGCAAACGGGTTTTGATTCCTTACCCGTACCCGGCCGCACCAGGGTCGCAAACGGGTACCCGTACCCGGCCGTACCCGGCCGTACCCGTACCTTAACCGTACCAGGCCGGGTACGAGTAGGGTACGGGTATCGGGTACCTGATTGCGACCTCTGGGATGAAGCCATGTTGCAGGCGTGGGTGGGTTGATTCTAGGAACTTGAATTGTGAGAAGAGTCAAGACGTCGGGAAATGAGTGACAAACAGTTACTCACCAGTGACTCACGGTCTACCCGTATCCGTACCCGGCCGCACCAGGGTCGCAAATGGGTACCCGGCCGGGTACGGGTAGCCGGGTATCGACCTCTGCTGCGCACACCCAACAACTACGCCACTGGATACTCGCACACACGTCAAACAAATAGCCCATAGGCCCAGATCAAATATTATCCTTGCTGGGATCACCTGACATGACCAACTCGCGTTGCGCCAACATCTTTAAATCGCCAAAAATAGTGAATTATGAAACGACCTTATTTAATAAGCGTGTCATCACAAACGTTCAGTAGCCAAATACAGACTTGTTTTCATTAAATATTTTACACCTATAATGGCACCGAAGTTTGCTCTGGTCCATGGACTATTAGTCAAGTGAGGTTTATTTGCCGAACCAGGTGAGAACTCAATAGAGCCGCGATGGTTTCATTTGCACGATTGACCTGGATCGGCGAAGTGACAAAAGCCAGACAACACCAAGTCAAATAAAGTGCAGGCAATTTTACGGTGGTCCTGACGGGGAGGAATCGGCGGGCGTCTTGCAGAAGAATGGAGAACCGCAGGCCAGGGAGGAGAGAAAGAGCCCACAGGAGCTTCACACAAAGCCAGGGTCTTACCCCTACTCACCGTGGCCACTGCCAGAGACAGGAGACAGCAACAGGTGAAAGAATGACGGAAAAAAATATCCTTACAACACCTTGCCTCAATGTACTTTTTAAGCAATCACATATTGCATGTTCATGTTAAAGACTCACTGTTGAGCTGTGTAATGGTCATGACAGTGGATTTAAACCCGTGGGTCGTACCCCCCTCTAAAGGAGGGGGGGAGGTGGGTGGCTTTCAGCAATAGTGCAGGCTGTGACGTGGATATCGTGCAGGAGAAATTTTGAATGCGCGCAGGGAAATGTCAACGCCTCACTGCGGCGACACAGCGCACTAAAACACACGGACAAATGCCTTCCTAAATACCACATCGACTAGCGGCATCGACATGCCTCTTCTGACACGGCCACCTGTTGGGCTTCTGCTCCGTACCGTGATCAGAGCCCCTGATGGAAACGCGAGTCTGGTGGACCGGCAGAATTTCCAACTTAACGCTCTCCGAGGTGTTCGCCAGAAGCTGGTGGGCCTCCTGTAACCACGCAAAATGACAAAGCAAGCCGGCACACGAGTCCATCAGGAGAGCCTTCACTTGTTTCAATGATTAAACACGCAGCAAAAGAGATATGTGCCACTGAAACACAAAAAGGCACATGTGAGCCAACACCCAGGTGTCTGCGTTTCAACGTACGCGTGCCCATCGCGCTGGTACAGAATTGAGCTCTGGGTACAAAGAGACCTGGCGTTACCAGATCAAATGAATTGTGCATTTTGGTATTTGTGCCATTCAGTATTGCACATGGCTACAATGAAGGCGCTGTGTTTCCCAGTGGAGTACGGTCTGCGGTAGTTTTACATTTGGGGGGCGGGGGACGGTGGACAATGTTGTTATGTGGCTTCATCCAATTTGGTAATTTTTATTTCATTTCATGTATTAGGTATAGCCCTGTGAGTCATTCGGCTCTTGAATCGGGTGCAACAAACAAAAAAAACTAAAACATGAACAAGAAAACATCTTAAATTGCAAGTCAATTTCAATTATGGCATATTTCTGGACCACGACGCCAGCACACACACGACCTACTTTTATCTTTAAGATCCACCGTGAAGCGGACATACGGTGCGCATTTTTACGTTTACATTTTTGTACATTTAATACACGCGCAGTATTACACCAGGGATCCCTGGAGGCTCGAACCGTGAACCTCCGCAACAAAGCGGCAGGCGCTGCTGGCCCCTCGTCCACGACGCCACCCTGACAGGGGATCGGCGCGGCCGCCGGGAGGAAGCCATCGCGTGTTGCTCTCACCTGGAACGTGCAGTGCTCCATGCCCGTGCCGTCGATGGACAGGAGCTGGTCGCCCACATGCAGCGCTCCGCACCTGCAACGCGGGGACCCATCAAATAGTCTGGCTATGGGCTCCGTCTGATGTTATGTAGCACGTGGAGATAAATCTAATTGCTGAACAACGCAACGTCCAATCTCGATAAGACGTCGGGGGAGAGCTACGCGGCGCAAACATGAAAAGCTACCCAAGTGGGTGTCTGATAATAGACATTTTTTTTAGTACTAAAAGCACAAGACGCATTCTCTAGGCACTGAAAGACTCACGCTGAACTAAGGCAGTAGTTAAGAAGAGTAAAATAGTTCATTAAACGCGAGTCAAAGTGTCTTCACCTTTTTACACTCGCACAATCCAAGTCCTTTGGAAGCATCGGTCAGTGGTACGCAGGAGATGGCAGCACAAGAAATAAGTTAAAGAGATATCCCAATAATCGTCTTAATGTTAAATTTAATATCGTATCAGTCAATATTATACCGCAAGCTTCGCGATAACCCTACATCTGAATAACTGGTACTGGCTTTTTTACAGGCTGTGTTACTCACCTACCTGAGACTCTGCGTCACTCACCTACCTGAGACTCTGCGTCACTCACCTACCTCAGACTCTGTCATTCACCTACCTCAGACTCTGTCACTCACCTACCTCAGACTCCGTGTCACTCACCTACCTAAGACTCCGTGTCACTCACCTACCTGAGATCCTCTGTCACTCACCTACCTGAGACTCTGTGTCACTCACCTACCTGAGGTTCTGTGTCACTCACCTACCTGAGACTCTGCGTCACTCACCTACCTCAGACTCTGTCATTCACCTACCTCAGACTCTGTCACTCACCTACCTCAGACTCCGTGTCACTCACCTACCTAAGACTCCGTGTCACTCACCTACCTGAGGTTCTGTGTCACTCACCTACCTCAGATTCTGTGTCACTCACCTTCCTCAGATTCTGTCACTCACCTACCTGAGGTTCTGTGTCACTCACCTACCTGAGACTCTGTCACTCACCTACCTGAGACTCTGTGTCACTCACCTACCTCAGATTATGTCACTCACCTACCTGAGGTTCTGTGTCACTCACCTACCTGAGACTCTGTCACTCACCTTCCTCAGATTCTGTGTCACTCACCTACCTGGGACTCTGTGTGTCACTCACCTACCTGAGACTGTGTGTCACTCACCTACCTGAGGTTCTGTGTCACTCACCTACCTCAGATTCTGTGTCACTCAGCTTCCTCAGATTCTGTGTGTCACTCACCTACCTCAGATTCTGTGTGTCACTCACCTAACCGCAAGGCTGGCTGTGCGCCACTCACCTCTCCGCGATGCTGGCTGCACGGATGCGGTCGATGACGATGGATTGCTTGCCGTGGCTCAGGGTCGAGGTGAGCATCAGGCCCAGGCTGGCACCCGGCGTCTTGGCCACCTCCACCAGCAGAGGCCCCGACGCGTTCATCACAGATTCTTCCCAGCACACGTTGTAGCACGCGCGAGAAGCACGCGCGAGAAGCACGCGCGAGAAGCACACGCAATCAGCGCAGGGCATCGGCATGGGGAACTAGCATGGTGGAGGAGCTAGCATGACAGGGGCTCCTATGAGCAGTGGTATCAAAGTGGTTGATGGCGTTGGTGGCAGTGGCCTCATTTAATGTGTTAGCCATGTTTTTTGCGGTGAAGAAGGTGACAGTCGTGCCGGTTGTCATGGGAGACGTTGATGATGATGATGGTGTAGGTATGTATGTTGAACCTCTTTTTCACTGTACGTAGCCAACCGTGCTAATAGGAGGTGTGGGTGGGTGGTGGTGGGTGGTGGTGGGTGGTGGTGGGTGGTGGCGTCGTAGAAGACAATTACGTTAGTGGTGGTGGTGGTGGTGGCAGTGGTGGCGATAGCTGTAGTGGTAATTATTCTGTGTCGGCAATTAAATTGACAGTCGCTGTGGTCACGATAAACTACAAACTAACAAACGATAAACAAAGTTTATTTTACCAGGTAAGGCCCAGTGAGTTATATAGCTCTTTTGCATAAGTGACATGGCCAGTGGCTTATCATGTGGACATGTATAGCAGCTAAATACTCTAAATGCACATCGATTCTAAATATGGAAGGGAAAAACTGGAGGACCCGAAGAAAGAAAAAAAACCACGCAACCACAGGGAGAACATGAAAACTCCGAATATACAGCCGTCACAGGGTCAGGGTCGAACCCACGATCTCCTGTATACCAGGCGAGGTAGTTAACATCTCGCCACCGTGGCGCCCACACTCACCCATGATGGAGACGTCATACTCTATCTGCACGAGGGCCTCCTGTCCGCTTTGCTTCAACACAGCGGTGGCCTCGGCGTGAGTGAGCCCGTGCAGCCGGATTCCATCCACAGTGAGCAGGCGATCTCCGGCCTTCAGAGTGCCCTCCCTGGACACGAACCCAAACACGGCAGACATCCAACACTGAGACTCGCACTTTGTTAATTCGGCTGGTGAGGCCCATTTTTCTATGCAGCTCTTTGACAAGAATGACCAGCCCGAGACTTTCGATTTAAAGCTTTCTGAACTGCAGGGATTCATCTTCTTGGTTCTTTCGGTAAAGTCACGTAGAAGGGAAAAAAAAAAAATAGACAGACGCTGTCTTTCCGACAGACCTGTTCTTCACCTGAGGACGGCTGCTTGCGTTGTGGCCGAAACGTCGTGAGAATTATTTTATTATGTTTTATTTTTATTATTTTATTATTTCCCTTCTACGTGACTTTACCAAAAGAACCAAGAAGATCAGCCCAAGACTGTCGGCAGTAGCGTAAGTTGCAGCACACATTGCCGGGAGGGAATATGCGAACGAACAAGTACCATTTTTTTTATATACATATACGAAACATGCAGAATGTTACTGCAAACAGTATACTCTCCGCTACAGCACTGACACACATGGTCCGTAGTGAATAAACCCTTTGCCTGCCAGAGCCGAATCGAATGTGACTACAGGCAACGGGCGCGCTGTGGTATTTCAAATCTGTTCTTTAAAACCTCCCCACCCCCCCCCCCCCCCCCAAGGCAAACCTTTTCCTCTCATATTCAGTTCCTATACTCTGCACTCCTATCATGTTTTTGTATTCTTTGCTGTTGCAACGTTCTGACCCGCCCCCTACTGGACATCTGTAAATAAGAGCTTTGTAGGCTCATCGGCTTCAAGAATAAATAAAGATTCTGATTCTGATTTGTATGCAAAATGAACGGCGCATTTTACAGCTCTCTCCCGTTGCAACCTTCGGAGCCTACGAGACCGCTGGAGAGAAAGAGTGGTCAGGTATTCTTCCTCCCGCTTCTCTACCAAAAACCATGGTTGTCAACGTTCTGACCGTTAAAACACCCACGGACACCGGAGTTTTTTTTTTCTCGCAAGAACACACATCGTGCAAACGGAAACGCGATCGACGCCGGCAATTATCACCGCCAACAACGGGAAACTGCCGCTCTGTTTTCTACTCTAAACAAGGGAGGAAAAGTCATTAATTCGTGCGCTCCCCGGTCTTCCCAAGTAATTAATTAGCACCATGGAAATGTGTCAGGGGCAAAGAGGTTTGCATATCTTGCAAGTATGTACTGTAATCCTGTTTTTGTCTATTTTACATCTCCAACTTTTATCAATTTGGCCAGTTTTACAAAAGGCCAATTTACCTACTAGCAACATGCTAAAGTATTGTTGTTATTGGATCATCTTTAGGAGAGTTAAAGTGCAAAGCGACGCCCATAAGCGTTTTCAACCTTAGTCGGAAGTTGTTTAAAATTTAGTCGCCGAAATCTGGACAAATCTGATCACTGCTCTCCATAGTGGGCACCTGGGACAGTAACTTCCACTCCGACCTCAGACAGAGGTCACATGATTACCCCAGGTTGTGCGCTCTGTAGACCAATCATCGTTCGTCAAACACTTTCCATTGGTGAGATAAGACTATTGTCACTGTGAAATGTAATGCTCATCATCATCATCAGAACCGCAGAGTCGATGCGTGCCCTATGGCGCTGGCGGCGCTGTAGGTCGTGTTAAGTTCCCAGCCCCGGTGACTCGGCGAATTTGTTGCACCCATGTGTCCCTAGGCCGGCCAACAATTTAACAGCTGCCTATTGCATGTATGTTGAACTTCTTTCGCACCGCAGGGTAGCCAACCGTTCCAATCGGAGGTGCTGGGAGAAAGACGACAAACTAAACACGAAAAGATATATTCTTGGTTCTTTCGGTAAAGTCACGTAGAAGGGAAATAATAAATAATACTATAAAACAATTAAATTCTCACGATGTTTCGACTGCAACACAAGCAATCATCATCAGGTGTGAAATCCACAGCAAGAAAATTGTAAGAAAATTTTTATTTTATTATTTTATTATTTCCCTTCTACGTGACTTTACCGAAAGAACCAAGAATATGAATCCCTGCAGTCATGAAAGCTTTAAATCAAAACGAAAAGACATGCTCAAGAAATTAGTTTTCAATCTGCCATTAACTTCAGGGTCGTGACCTTCACGTACCTGTCAGCGGGCCCTCCGGGTCGTACGTGCGTCACCACTACAGGCCTGGACTTGCTTCTGTCAGCATGTGCGCCCCCTCACCACGAAAAACAAATTCACCAAGATTAGCACCAACAGACACCCGGCACCTAGCTCAAGCAATGATGTGAATGAGACATTTTGCGCCAACGTATTGTTTTGTTCTAAGTCAAATTAAAATTTTCCCAGTGACCACTGGGGTTAAAAAAAAGAGTGGTTTCCACCAAGTAATGAAGCAGACGACTATAGTTGTGGAATGCTATATTTTGAAACACTCAATAATACAATTTTCAAACATCCCAAATCAGGATCCTGCCAAACAAAGTCCTAAGACTCAGTGATGCTTTCGCACATAAAAACTGTTTCATTATTCTAATCATTACTGTTAAAAAGCACTGCATGTTTCTGTAGCCATGCTGTGCTTTGTTGTCCTTCGCCCGCACCTCCTATTACCACGGTTGGCTACGTACGGTGCGAAAGAAGTTCAACATACATCCATGCAAAATTCAACATGCATATATTTGAGAATTTTTTAATATTCTTAAGACACAAAACTAAGCGACAGCAAAAATTGCAAAATAAAAGTGCGAATACTGCTGGATGAAGGCCTCCCCGCGTGGTCTGTTGGCTATGATGGTTGTTTGACTATCCATCAAAACCATGTGGGTTGGTAGAAGGGGGAGAAGGGGGTGCAAGACCGGTTCGGATATCACCCGCTAACTCAGGTTGACAAGTTCGTAGTGCAATGCGATGCTAAGCGCTGTGCCACATAGAATTGTGAAAAACTCCCAAACATGCCACGTTTACGAGGTGGGCAGCAAATGGCAGTCCAGCAAGCAGATGTGTGAAGCCATCTGTGTGGAATTTCAGGGTAATACCCTCAGACGCCCGGGTTCTTATCCGAGTGCTCCAGTTTCCTCCTACACGAAGGCAAACATTTATTCAAAGGGAATTGGTCAAACATCCCAAATCCAACACTCACGAAAGATATCCTTGGAACCCAACGAGGCTTTCTTTGGTTAAGTGCAGTACGGGTGGGTACAGCACAACGAGTCGAACGTCAGTTCGCGTGTGGTGGGCTAAAGTGTGAGCATGCCGACCTCCTCCGATACGATTGGTCAACGCGGCAGAAGAGACCAAACACCCTCGAGAGGGGGGCTTTCTAAAGCTCCGCTATAGAGGGGGGCCTTCCACCAGCAGTGGCATCAACAAAGAAATTGCAGGGCTGCACCTTTACCCTTGTGTTTTATTTCTCACCTCTGCAAACGAAGCCGAAGCTGTTCCCCTCTTTGTTCAAGGTTATTTCGATCAGCTTGGGGATCACTGCAGTGCTGTCCACAGCTGCACATCAAATAGCACGCACGCGATAAACACGGAGACATCAACAAAAATCACAGTCCAATAAATCGAACATCACTCCTTGACCAGTGCAGGACACAGTTAACGCTTCATTCCCTGATAATTGTTTTTTTTTTTTAAAGGTGTCAGTTTTGTTGCCAGATAAAAGGGTAAAAAACAATTATCATATTTTGCTACTGGCAAAGAAGGTTCCAATGGTGCTTCATTCCCTGTTGACAGATTAACCGTGCTTGTGTAACAACATTAACTTTTTTTTTTACACGAGTGAGCACTTGTTCTATTATTTAGTCGTTCCCCAATGGGTGAGAGTCAGCGATTCAGTGGGGACGTGACCGCAAAGGAATCTGGGCAAGTAAAACCGATTGCTTTAAGAAACGATAAAAGCAGACTAGGCGTTTTCTAAGCCTTCACCCCGAATTTACTCAGCGCCAGGTCTGGAAGCTTTCCACAGGGAAGGGGGGGGGTGGGGGGGCAGTCGTCCTGAAATTTCTAATTTTATAAAAAGTAACCTACATTGAAAATTAAACATTCAATGCATTTTCTATGATTAATATCAATACAATTCCAATTTCAGGGTCTCAAGGGTGGGGAGGGGTGATCACCACCATCCCCAACTGCCCCCTCCCCATCCCACTCACCACCCTCCCCCCCACCAGATCCACAACTTCTTCGTCTTTCGTACGGCCGATGTAGATGCTCCAGTAAAATAAAAATTACTAAAATTACTTGCGTAATTTTACTGGAGCAGTTACACCTGATGACGGAGGCTTGTGTTGCTTCCGAAACGTCGTGATTTAATTTAGTTATTCTCATTTATTATGACTTTATTATTATTATTTTTTTTACCCACGTGACTTTACCGAAAGAACCTAAGAGTATGAATCCTTGCGGTCACGAAAGCTTCAAATCTGGAAGTTACCATATCGACACAGGCCGCTGCGGCCCGAATCTTGCGGCTGCTCCGAGTGCGCGACGACGCCACTCACCGACTGGCGGCAGCTCGTACTCGACGTCCAGCGCCACGCGGTCGCCCACGTTCTTCAGGAGACTCACGATCTCCTCGTGCCGCAGCCGCTGCAGGTTGATGCCGTTCACGGAGCGGATGTAATCCCCCACGTTCAGCTGGTCGCTCCTACGCGCAAACGAAAAACCGCACGGGCCGACGGCGACGGCCGCAGTTCGCCATCAACGGTTCGACAGTGACGCAGCGCTGCTCGTGCCAGGCTAGGTTGCACCTCGAAGCTATCACCTGAACTGTATCAGGAGTCTCGCTGCTCAGGAGGGTCTCGGGACAGATCCAGGTGCTACGGTTTGTCCGACTGAGATCAACTGCGCTCCCCACTATGCCGACTTGTTGTTGTGTTTAAGCCACCCGGCGCCCTGCTTTGTTGAAGTTAGCGTTGCTCCATCAGCCTCCGTTTATTGCTGGACTGCCTCCAACTGCCCAGTAGTGTCCTTCACGGGCCTCCTCCACAGATTCATTACATTCCACGCGCCCCGCACGCGCACACAGGCATGCACTCGCACGTGTATACGCCCATGCAGCGGCGCAGATCCAACCGTCGCAAGCATTTCTCAATAGTGCGCACTCGCATACCACTTAAAGACACAAGTGTGGTCGTCCAGGGTTGGGCCAGGCCACACGTTGACCATCTCCTCTCTCAAGCTTTAGCCACCTCTCACTACTGGGGGGAGTGGGCATCTTCAGGAGTTGAAGGGAGTTTGTCTCACCGGGCCTCCACTCTTTATTATATGTCCGATATTTACGATGTCGTTAATCCACTGCGAGTGTCTCTCTGCAGAAGTTCGTGAAACTGCTGGCACCCCCACCCCGCCCCTCGACAAAGCCTTGGAGCCACAGCCTCGCCGTCTACTCTGTCAACATCATCATCATCGCCAGGAATGATCTATCCACTACTGGATGAAGGCCTCACTCGAGAGTACATCCCAAACTAAACTAAAACTATGTTTATTTTAACAGGTAAGGCCCACTGAGCTGTGTAGCCAATATTCAGAAGCGACCTGGCCTTGCCCCCTTTGACCTGGCCGCAAATGATAGCTCAACGAAGTGGCTTATCATGTGGACATTTATAGCAGCCAAATACTCTAAGCGACAACAAATCAAGCGAGGAGATGAAGCGATTGAATCGGCTCGTGTGCAGGTGCTAGGTGGATTGTTACGTCGCAGGATCGTGAGAGATGGCAACGGCTTGGGGAGGCCATCATCCAGCAGTGAATTCATCAAGACTGGTGATGATGATGATGATGGCAGCGATAGATGACGTACATGGAGCACTCACCGGATGGCAATTCCTCCAGGTCGCAGGCTGGAGATCCGAGGCCGCCCTTCTTTGTCAACCCCTCCGGACACCGTGATGCCCAGGGTGGAGCCTTCCTTCTTGATGAGCTCCACCAGGGTGGAACCCAGATGTTCGTCTGAGACAGGGGCACACAGTCAGATGATGATCGCCTCGTTAGGCGTTGACAAAGCCGAGCAGCAGCAGCGTGGTGCTGCTTGTTGCCGAGGCTCGTAGTTCAGCCTCCAGCAGCTGCCTCTGTCAATACCACACAAGTGTAATAACGAATCAATTTGCGCCGGTCACAGCGGACGTAAAAAAAAACACCCCGTGACATAATTCGTAACATGGTGGGGGCCACGTGTGCCGGCGTCACGATCCAAATTTCAGAAATTAGTCGCAAACAACCTAACTGGGTAAGACCACAAAGCAACTTGGGGTCACGGCTGTTTTCAAAAGCCGAATGGCTCACAGGGCTATACCTAATAAATGAACTTGAACTTGAAACAACTCCAGACCACCTCCCGTCTGTGCAAACAAAACACCCGCTCTCGCGATAGCCTTGTCCGCAATGCTCCAGAGCGGCACTACGTAGACGGTGCGGGGGTTCTGCAGAGGATGCACAGCGCGCGTCGTCGCGCTAACGTACCGGAGATGCCGTGCCTCTGTGGGGCCGCTGGGCCATCCCTGGCGAGGGCCGTCGAGCCCGCTACCCGACCCCCACCTTCCTCGAGCACGGCGTCATCTGCGACACGGGGACAAAGCGGCACCGGGTAAATTTCAACGTGCAGTCGTTGCCACAGGAGCAGCAGCAGGAGCATCATCATCAGCAAGTACGTGACAGGGGAGCAACCCAGAAGAATGATTCTTCCACTTGCGTTCACTATCAAGGGTCTGTTTTTCGTGGCCACTTCCATACAATTCAGTCGACCTTCTCGCTCCACCTTCCGGCCGTCGTAAACGCCAGTCGGCAAACAACGTGCAGGGAACGTCTGTTGGTCGGGTGGCTCCCTAGTCACGTGCAGTAGGGGTGGGCTACAGCAGCGTGTCAAAACGCCCAGAGCCACTTACCAGTCTGCAGAGGTCGCAACCGGGTAACCGATACCCGTACCCTACCCGATACCCGGCTACCCGTACCCGGCCGGGTACGGGTAGCCGTTTGCGACCCTGGTGCGGCCGGGTACGGGTAGGCCGTGAGTCACTGGTGAGTAACCGTTTGTCACTCATTTCGGGTAGGGTACGGGTAAGGAATGGGTACTTGTACCCAGCCGAGTACGGGTACCCATTTGCGACCCTGGTGCGGCCGGGTACGGGTACGGGTAAGGAATCAAAACCCGTTTGCCACCTCTGCCAGTCTGTGTGTGCCTATTAAAGCGTTTGATTTATCTCGAGGTTCTAAGCCCAGGGTATCGTTAACTGTATCTTCCTCGATGGGGGACATAATAAATATCGCGTGTGCTGGTAAGCCAATGTGACGTCACCTTTAAATAAAATATCGCAGTTCAGAATATTTATTTCAAAATATTTATTTCAGAATCAGATTATGTATTTATACTGGAGGAATCCGATGAGCTATAAAGTTCTTTTTCACAGATGTCCAGGCCCAAAATGCCAGGCAACCCAGCAATAAACAACACGGTTCAAGATGTAATAGATAAGAGATGTTTCTTTATTTGAGACGCGGTATAGAATCTTGGGAAAACAAACAATGGGAGGGCATTCCAAAGTCAAGCAGTGCAAGGGAAGAAGCAGATCGAGAAGTGATGTGACCTGCAGTGTGACGGCTGAACAGTGTGGATGAGAAAAAGAAGTCAGTATGGTAGACCGAGTCCTCAACACGAATAGAGGAATCAACGAGTGAACTTCACAGGAACAGTAAGGGCACGGTAGTAGCAACAGAAGAGCCATCAGGAGAAAACCGACGACGGGCAATCAAGAGGCTAGAGTGAATCAGAAAGTTCTGGATCATCAATCGCCCTGACTGCTTGATTCTCCCAAAGTAGAGTGAGGTAAGTGTTACGTGATGTCCAAACATCGTAGTATCACGTTTACAGGTTATATGATGTCACATGACATCACGGTGACATCATACCCATAATACACGATCATCACCAAGCCATCACCATGTTACACGGTCCTGCTATGCAACAATCCATCAAGCGCCACTCCTACGTACGAGCATATTTCGTCGCTCCATATCCACGGTGGATGTCCGACCGGGCGCGTTGCCTCCTATCGCTGCCACTCTGTCGTTTGTCCCAACGAACCGGCCTGCCACCCCCTCTTCCAGCGTCGCGTGCCCTGCCCAAGCCCACGTACTTCTATTCAACAGTCAATGCAAAGTTTTACCTTTTTCCACACTTTCATTTAACTCACTCTGTCTGTTGTCATTGTCGTTATTGTCATTGTCGTTGTTGTATCCTCAATCTTGTAACTCAGATTTAACCCACTTCCCAATGTGGTATCGACTGCAAACTTGGTATACTTATGTCATACTGATGCCAATACTATATTCTATCATAAAAAATAAAAAAAATATTTTTTTAAACATTCTTTTTTATATGCTATGTTTCGGCTTGGGTCTAATTGTCCACGGTCAACTGACGTTATGGCAAGCCTTGGGGCCACTTCCTAGAGTCGTGGAGTTCTGCCATTACTAGCACATTTCATAAAAGCGTGTTATTAAAAATATATTTTAAAATATTACTTTTGTTAATGTATTAATCCGCGCGTTTCCTATTTCTGTCTTTCAATTTAATGTCAATGATGGTGACACAGTTTCAGAGCAAGCAATTATCTTAAAGACCTCGTTCCCCTTCCCAACTGGGTGAGCGAATCCGTGGACACCACAGCTCGGTTTGCTCACGCAGTGTTGGTGGCAATGGCAGCGACGATCCTTCTCTCTGCCTGTGCTGCAAAAACCAGGGCCAATCCAGGCAGCCCTTTACGTTTCATTTGAAGCATGCAAGGATGTCTTTATTAAGCAATGTCTCTCACGGGGGAAAAAAAAAAGCCCTCGCGACAAGGCACAACCGCAAAAACAAAGTGTGATAAGATCAAACGCACAGTTTTTTGGTTTTACGCAAAGATCCATTTTCACGCGGTACATTCCTGCAATATGACTGCCACAAAAAGGCATTTTGTGCTCGTACTACATCGCTCACATGAGTAGACCATTGTGTGGGGAGTTCGAAAGCCAGATGAGAGGCGGCGGCGGGGGGGGGGGAGAAAGAAAAAACAATCTGTTCTGAAAGCCAAGTGCTGTGAAGTATTTTTTTTAAATCCTAAACGGCCCGATTCCCATCATTGATGTAACGGGTAGAACCATGGCACGTTGGCAATTTCTCCCTGTTGTCGTTTGATGAAGGAGACATCGGCGCAGATTTTTTTCATCAAAAGACGTAAGACGAAGTCGAACATTCGCTGACGATGTGGATTGGTTCATGCCAAACGTCGTGATTTTTATTTTATTTTTATTTACCTTTTATTAATTTTTTTACCTACGTGACTTTACCGAAAAAACCTAAGAATATCATGCCAATGAGTTGAGCAACTTGCTCTTTTGACAAAATATATTCAATGGTGACCGTCAGCGTCGTGCCCTGCGCTTTTGGCGCCGATTTCAGAGCAGCGTCCAGTTTGCAACCGTCGATGATTGCATGGAGTCTATCATGCGCAGTGTCATATTAGAACGCAAAACTAATTTGTAGCGTCCTAAATGCATTTATTTATTCCACAGAATAGAAAAGGGTGCAAGTATTTATTTATCCTCTTCATGAGTTGGGAAACTTATCAACTTTCACTCATCCTTACTCTTTGGTTCTTTCGGTAAAGTCACATGGGTATAAAATAAAATAAATCACGACGTTTCGGGCGCAACACAAGCATCACCTGATGACGGATGCTGGTGTTGCGCCCGAAACGTCGCGATTCATTTTATTTTCTACCTACGGGACTTTACCGAAAGAACCAAAGAGTATGGATTCCCGCAGTCACGAAAGCTTCAAATTTAGATTGATTTTCATTCATCCTATCAGTCTTCCAAGGCGTTTTAAAAAAATCTAATAAACGTATCTTCTTCAAATGAAGAAGTTAATTGGAAGCGTAGTAACCACTCAGTGAATTATCCTCGTGAAGCCAAGCTCAAGACAAACGAATTATTTGTGAAAGAAAAGTCACGGGAGAAAGATCACATGACAGCCTGCCTGTGCGACTGATTACATTTATTTTTTTGCACATTGCCTTCAAACAACACTCCTTTCAAAAGGAATTGACCAAACATCGCCTTGAAAGACTTCTCTGAGAATGCGAGAGTCACAATGCACTTTTCCCAGAAGGCCATTCGTTACGTTTGTAGTTCAAACACACACACTGTTCCGATATTACGCATTTAAACTGCTGCAAATACTGCTGACAAAACAGCTAAAGCACGTTGCCTTCATTTATTTGTTTGGTAATGGAGCTATCCATTTACTGCATTGCTGTAATAAATTATATTTTATTGCTTTTATTGAGACTATTCTGGTCTCTTCACATCTCACCTGGTTATACAAAATTAACTTAAAACTTAACTTATCATCTTTGGTTCTTTCGGTAAAGTCACGTAGAAAGAAAATAAATTAAATAATAGAGTACGACGTTTCGGTTGCAATACAAGCAACCGTCATCAGGTAGAAATACATTTGAGAGAGAGACAAAACACAGACACGGAGACACAGACAGACACACAAGCAGAGAGAGACACACAGAGACACAGAGAGACACACAGAGACACAACATAAACACAACACAGACACACAACACAGAGAGAGACAATGCAGAGGCACACAGAGAGACACACAGAGACAGACACACAGAGAAAGACACACAGAGAGAGACACACAGAGAAAGACACACAACACAGACACACAGAGAGAGACACACACAGAAACACACAGTGAGAGTCAACACAGAGACACACAGAGAGACACACAACACAGACACACAGACAGACACACAAGCAGAGAGAGACAACACAGAGACACACAGAGACCCAAAATAAACTTTGGACTTAACTTATCGACACACGTTTGCCCCAATTAAAACAAATCGGACGAAAAGGAACATTTGTCGACAGGCGAAATCTGCACGGATCGTCCCAAATGGGCTCTCTCGCCTCGTCACGAAAAAATGTTTTCCCTTCGTTCATTTCCTTCCCCCGCAGAGAAAAACAGACTTCAACAGCACAAGTCCGCAAAAAGGCAGCGCGCCCACACGTCGTTTCGGCCCGAGCGGCCCCAAACACAGCGGGGCAAACAATGGGGAAGAATTCTAGATTTGAAGTTTTCGCGACTGCAAGGATCCATACTTTGGTTCTTTCGGTAAAGTCATGTCGGTGAAAATAAAATAAAAACAACTAAATTAAATCACGACGTTTCGGGCGCAACACAAGTGTCCGTCATCAGGTGGGGGACAACCACAGCGAAGAACAATTGCTGATCTTCTTGGTTCTTTTGTTAAAGTCACGTAGAATGGAAATAATAAAATAATAAAAATAAAACAGACTATCTACTCAACAGACCTGCTCTCCACCTGAGGACGGCTGCTTGCGTTGTGGCTGAAACGTCGTGAGAATTATTTTATTATGTTTTATTTTTATTATTTTATTACTTCCATTCTACGTGACTTTACCGAAAGAACCAAGAAGATGAATCCCTGCAGTCACGAAAGCTTTAAATCGAAATTTAACAATTGCTGAGGTATCTAACGGGGAAGAAGGCACAGAGCACTCACCTGGACACTCTTCGGAGAGGCGTTTCAGAGAGTAAGCCTCGTCGGAGGCGCCGTCCGCGGCGCATTTTTTGCTTTTCGTCGAGTGGTTTTTGCGGAGCCACCCGAGAAGGGTCTGCACTTTCCTCATCGCGGCGCTTGTCCGCGTGCCGGGCGGCTTGCGCGTGCCCCAGCGGTCGCCGTGCATTCTGCGAGCGTGACGCGCTGGCCCGGTTCCACGGAGAATGTACCCAAACTTAAAAATGCCTCATCTAAAATTTTTTTTTTTTACAATTCTTCTGCGCAGGAGAATTAACGAATTACATATCCGCGGAAACAAAGCTACCTCGGTTTACAGATGTGCAAAATTACACGTCCGTAAGAACGACTGCTGATCAAACGTTACTCCCGTCTTACCGCAGACAGATCAACGCTGGGAGTGTTTTAACTTTCGACGCTGGGCAGACGGGCCACGTCTCGCGTTCACTCGGCTTGCAGGTGAAGTCCCAACCGACTCGCTTTGGCGCACAGAAGCACCCGTGGCCGCTGCCAAAACCCTCGCTAGTGAAAACACTCGCAGCGGCTTCAGAAACGCGTTTCACTTTGCAACCGCGCTCGTTCCCATCGACGGGAAAGGGAAAAAAACCACACACGGCATTGAGAGAACGCAGTTTCTACTGCCGGCAGCGTGTCCACGACGTTGGGACAGATCCCTTCTCACGCGAGCGCTTGTGTGGTCCGGGCGAGCGTACGGCAACGCGATAAATGTCCGAGAAAAATGGGCGGGGGCGCGTAGGCAGTACCTCCGTTGCTGGAAGGCAGCAGAGGAATGAGTGGAATCCACGAGATTGGGATCTCGCGGCGAAGCAATCCTGCCCGTGGAATCGGTAGTCAAAACATGCGTGTGGGCTGGCAAACAAAGGCAGGCGAGGTGAGCGGAAAGGTAGCCACTTTTACCTGGGCCCTACGATCCCGTATGGGTTTCGGATGCTCTGAAAGTCAGCGGCAATGATCAAGTGCCATTGTGGAGAATGTCGGTAACATGTGTGTCTCTACAAGATAGAAAAGGATGTTTTAAAAAATATATATACATCTCTGTAATTCGGATGGTTTTCCTGCTATTTAAATCTGGTTTGACCCATCACCAAATTGCAGAGAATGTGCCACCTGATCTCATCAGATCTCAGAAGTTCGTGAGGTTTTGGAGGTGGAAAGTTCTGATAAGGGGAATTGGAAGAGAGATTTGTGTTTATATATATATTTATATATATAGGGGACGGAAGAGGAAGGTAATAAACCGAGGGTAGAGGGCAGGTGGGAAAGAAGACTCAAGATTAAGAAAATCATTGGCAAAGCCATGTTCACCAGCAGACCTCACATCAACTTATTACCAAGTCACCTGGAATGCTCCCAATATTACCAGAACCCAGACATGAAGCAAAGGTGAGCTGGGGTAAAGGTTGGATGGGCAATCACTATGGATAAAAACAGGTGCCATCGGCTGCTATGCGGCTGTGTTGTGGGGTAAGGGAGGGTTACTGCGGCAAACGCCTTAGCCCCGTCAATGCTCCCCAACTTCAACCAACCCGCACTGACCAGCGTGGTGAACTTTTGTACAACAACCACTGTCACTGAGTGGTGGCCCTCATCCAGCAGTGGATAGACAATTGTCTGTACATGATGATGATAATGATGACCGTCTCTGTATATGAACGATGCAACCCCACAAACCGCTTGCTTATGCCACTGCTGGCAGAAATGGCATCCAGCCACAGCCAATTCTTAAGGTTATTTGGTCTACTTTTCCACATTGACCAGACCAGGGGTCGGCAACCTACGGCTCCGGAGCCGCATGCGGCTCTTTACGGGCTGCTTCTTGACGATATGTACGTATGTACAGTATGTACTCAGATGCATTGCGGCTCTTGAAATACTGAATTTTGTACCGAATTGGAAAGAAATGGCTCTTCTTGTTATTTTGGTTGCCGACCCCTGGACCAGACGTATTAGAATAGGTAGGGGTGTACTCACACTTCACCCCATCACACGCAACCTCTCCCGATCTACCAAATGTGGTGGACCAATTTACACTGCCGAGTGCACAGATGTGGCAGTTTGTCATGGACTCGATAACAGCAGCAACATCAAAAAATCCCAAATTGGAACAAACGCCACGCCGGGAAGATGGAATCGAATCGGCGACCTCTGGACTGCAAGTCCAGTCGTGCGAAGCGTTACACCACGGCACAATCTCCGTACAAGAGAATGAAACACGAGAAAATTAAATATTAGAGAATGAAATAAGAGAATGAATGGAATGCAAAAATGGGTACTGGAGCAATGCCTGTAGAACAAATTCTTTGGCAGTAGATGGCAACACAGTTCCAGTTAAAACAAAAACTGGCTCGATGGCCAGAGAAGTTAGCTCAAGACAATCAACTTCAGCCATAATCAATCCACTGCTGGATGAAGGCCTCCCCAATCCATCTCAATCTCTCACGGTCTTGCGATACAACGATCCGTCTAGCTAGCACCTGTACACGATCCGATTTCACCGCTCCTTTTCCTAGGCGCATTAATTCCCTGCTACGACCACCACTGTCGTTACCAACTGCACACAACAACCCTGTTTCAGAGAATGGCCGCATACGATGATGTCATAGAACTACCCCTGAGGTCACGTCAATGGACATCTTCATTCACACTGGGAATCCAGCTTTTACTGCAATGGCACGCAGCAACAACAACAACAAAATAACTCAACGCAAGTCTCGTCAACCAAAACGCTGCATTCTCAGAACTGGACCGAGCCCAATGAAGTGTAAAAGCAAATTTTACGTGATGCGTTTGATCGTACGCAATCACTGGATAACCGCTACTCCAGACGAGGTTGTCTTGCTTGACCACCTGAATGTGAAGTTGTAGTTGTTGTTCTGCACCTACATCAGCCGTACGAAAGAAGGAGAAGAAGACTGGTGACCAAGCTGATACGATCAACTCGCTACGCTTGAAAAACCAAATTTCATCGCAGGTGGCTTGCCTACTCCCCTATTCCGCTGGAATATCCAAGCCGAGACAGTGTGGGAGAGGGGGCGTACGTAGTCTTCGCTGTGGTTTTCCAATATACTGCGCCGAGCCTGAACCAAACCGCGATTCGCTGGCCTCACAAAACTCTAGGAATCTGGTTCAGGGCCAAGCAGGACCAGCAACACGCTCATTTCGTGTGACATCAGCCAATACGCTGCGTTATCGTGTGAAGACCAGGACGGCTGCTTGCGTTGTGGCCGAAACGTCGTGAGAATTATTTTATTAAGTTTTATTTTTATTATTTTATTATTTCCCTTCTACGTGACTTTACCGAAAGAACCAACAAGACGCTTCAATGTGCTTTTATATTCGCATTCGAAATACTGCAGGGTAATAATATCCCTCCCCTGGGTTCGTCTTGCATAACAGAGAATTATACAGACCCCTCAACGGGATTTCATTGATTAATGAAGCACAGCAAAATAATATCACTGCAGCGCCCAGAAGCGAAAGGATTATGAGACAATCATACGAGCAGCACTTTAGCGGCAGTGCACATCTCCCCAGATGAGTCCAAGATTCCTATTAGCGCATTCTTGCCGAGTATTTTTAGCAACCGACAGACTGACAGACGGGAGCATTCCGAACGCCTCCCCAAATAGCCACCACAATGCAAAGATCTGTTTAGCAACCGGTCCCGTTGAACGTTTAAAAAAAAAAATCCGACGTAAAACTCGACACTCGCACAAAATACGCATCATCGTAGGTTTGCATGAACCGCCGTCGTCACCTATCGCTGAACTGCAATGGTGGTGGGAGTGGTGCTAGTGTCTTCGGCCTATCAACTTCCCTGTTGTGCCGGCGTATCAGGCCGCGTTATCACATTTGTCGTTCGATAATTATCTTAGGTCATCCTCCCCTTATTTTTAAATCCTTTATATTAAGTTCACTTGCTTGCTTGCTTAGGACCGTGCAAATCTTTCGGTCGTTTTTTAACCCACTTCCCGTGATCCAATCGAGCTGACATTTTGCACACAGACTCGTTGTGCGTGACAATTTATTTTCGTGAAAATTTTTTTCATAACTTTACACTTTTTAGGAATTTTTTTTTATATTTAATTACCAATTGTTTAATGGTGGCAGGCAATCATCTGACCCATAGGTGGCAGCCATCTCAAGCCAGAGGACGAGAGGACTCTAGCCGCCACGCATATAAAGGATTTATAGTGAAAAACTTTGTTTTTACGGGTTAATTTTTTCCCACTGCAGTGCATTGCAAGATTATGATGCTGGCCAGTCTCTCTTTGGTGTCACGTGTCCTAGACCATTGCTGTTTCCATTCCTTCGCTATCATCCGTAGCGGGTCAAAGATTTTTCTCATATTTTCTGCAATTTTTATCTGGAACGGATGCATTTCTGCGGAGAGTTGCGGGTGGTGTTCATAGTGGTTGTCTATGGAATCTTATCTCTCATGCTGGTATTATTTTTTCGATATCCATGATAAATAAAACAAATTGGAAAATGTATTTATTATTGCCAAAACTCTTACATAAAGACGAAGTCATCAGCATATGGTTAACTGTGTATGGTATCTCAGTCGTCTTCGAAATGGAACTTAATAGATTGCCAATAATGTTCCTAGAAACTGATGGGAACCCATTGAGAATTGCACCTGACCACAGTTAAACATCGTTCTAAATAATAACCCTGATATAACTTAAGTCAAAGAAGATGTTTATTAAGTATTCCATTTGACAATTTTCAACATGTTTTCACATGTAGCCATGAATTAAACTCTGGTCGTTGACTTCATAGTGCAATGTGCCACGGCTTTACCCACCTACCGTATGTTAAGAGTGCTGTGCTGTAACATCCCCATGATCAATCCACTCATGGATGAAGGCTTCCCCAAGCAGCCGCCAACTCTCATGAATAAGACTGTGTAACTATTTTGTTTTTGTTTCTGGGTAGTAAGTGTTATTTCCTAATTGCTTATGCCTCAAAAGTACACAAAATGCCTATTATTCCCCACAAACTTTGCTTTTGTGACCAGGACAGTGATATTTTGAAATTAACTATTTTCAAAACATTACAGATAGATTCAATGCTGAGTAAACTTGGAGTAACTTCTATAACATTCTAGAACTTTCCAGTAATATAAATAGTAGTATAAATACAGGGGCCTTATTTTCTTTACTTTTTAGGAATAAGCAATTACGAAATAACACTTACTACCCAGGAACAAAAATTGTGTTACATAGTGTTATCATACGCTGCAGCGTTGCTGGTGAAAAGGTGTACACACTACTCAACCAATTGGGTTCCGGCAGAGATAAAGCGGAATTCACTTCAACCACCATCCGCGCGGAGAAAACCACAAAAATGCTTGGGGGCTAAAGCAGTGGTTTTCAACCTCTCTGCTATGGTGGTGGCCCTCCAATCCTTACCACGCAACACCACCCCCCCACCTCCCTCCTTCCCCCAGCCTCAATAAGCTAGAAACAAGCTTACTAATGGCACCATACACAGAGGGATCCGCATGTCCACCGTGCATTGTGGTGACAACACGGTGTTGGGGAGGCATCTTGTGGCTCACGAGTTCAGAACCGCTGGGCGAAGGTGCAATTAGCTTGACGCGAGGGAGTGGCAGACATTCCACGTGTTACTGTCTTCAGTGGGTGTGTGCACGAGGGG